AGTACCAAGTGCGAGTCCTGCGTATTCTCCAGACCTTCGCGGATAACCAGTCTCGGGTGATAGAGCCTGGGACCAAGATTGCCTTTATCCCGGAACCCGAAGGGGGAACGCGGCCTATCGGGCTGCTCTGCCTGTTCACGAAACTCTGGATGGGGCTCAGACAACCACTCTGCAGGGCATGGGAGCGGGCTCACAGCATGATTTGTTTTGGGAAGCAGTGGCCCAATGACGACGTGCGAAAAGGCTGGGTGGACCCACAACCTTCTCAGTGTTTTTTGTCGTGCCATGTGCCACAGTGTTGCTCGACCTTAAGAAGTTCTACGAACATGTGAGACACGAGGACCTCTTTTCGGCAGCTAGGCAATTCGGAATCAACTTGAAGCTCTTGAGGGGTCGGGTGACGGTACGTTCGGGCTTCAGGACTTTGATCTTCGACGGGGCGATTTCAGACTTTGCCCAGGCGACGGGGGTGATCATAGTTGGGTGTCCGGCAGCCACGATTTTGGCACAACTTCTGCTGGTCGGCCCCCTCACCCCGGTGGTTCACGGCAGGCCCCAGGCTCAGGTAAGGAACGTCGTCGACGACGTGACTTTGCAATGCTTCAGCCCTCGCGAGCTGGTGTCGGCCCAGCTCCCTGCAGCGGTGCAGCACATTCCCTGTTTTTTTTGGGCGAGCTCGGGCTCCCAATGCACTTGAAGAAGCGCGAACACCTGCCCAGCAGCCCCGAGCTCACGGCTGCCCTCGAGTCGCAGCGGTCGCCTCCAGCATCGGGCACGGTCGACGCAGCTAGAAACTTGGGGGCGGACGCGAACCTGGGGACCTTAAGACGAGTAGGGGTCATGAGGAGGAGGAGGAGGAGGAGGAGGAGGAGGAGGAGGAGGAGGAGGAGTAGGAGGAGGGGGAGGGGGAGCAGGAGGAGGAGGAGGCCCGCTGAAAGAAGGCTACGCGATCATCGAGACGCTTGTGCAGCCTGCGTGACGCGGGTGCGGATGTGAAGTGGATCCAGCGTTAAGGGGCCCACGGCCTCGGCCGCGTGGGGCGCCTGTGTGGACGGTGCGCAGCCTGCTGAGCTTCATCACTTGCGTGTTGCGGCGTGTAAGAATTTGGGCGGATGTCCTCGTGGGGCCTCAATGGGACTCAGGATGTACTCATACCGATATGGTCGGGGCGTTGACCTAAGGAACCCTAAATAAGGAACGAGGCCCCTTTTTCTTCCGTGAGTTAAACTTCGATTCTCCATCGAAAACCTTGGGAAAACCTGAGGGAAGCTGTGAAACAATCAAGGAACACGGAGCCCCTCCCCAACGAAAAAGGTTCCTTCTTCAGGACCCCTACTGTATGGTCGGCGTGTCGATCCGTGGGTCACTGTTCTCAGCCGGGCGTTGTTCCAGCGGGGTAGTGCATGCTGGGAATGGAACCCCAACCCTCAAGTGCTCAGCAAGACTTTGGAGATGGCCCGTGACAAGTGCTCGAAATCGAAGCGACCCTGGGTAGCAGCGGCATCACCCACCGACGTCTACAATCTGATGATATGCGGCATCGGCTGGGACGCCCCCTCGGCGGCGATGCTGACGACAGACGGCGGCGGCTCCATAAACCTTGTGCGGCTGAGCCCAGCTGCGGTGCGGAGGCTGGTCGAGGAATGAGTGAGGCAAGAGTCGGATAGGCTAGCGCTGAAGGTCGCGCCAAACCCTTGGACCCTCCCAATGTTTTGGTTTGCCCTGGAACGCTTTGTCCACGGGGCCTCCACGAGCTGGACGTTGCACCGGCAAAAGGTCTTGAAGGCTCTGATTCCGGGGACTTGTTGGTCCCAGGCTCGGCTCAATAAAAAAGGGTTGGCGCTGTCTGCCAACTTCACGGCGCGTGGCCATCCCGACGGCTCCTGTTGGCACATGTGCTACGAGTGCGATGCGCACACAGCCCTCCGACGGGACCATGTTTCGGCGAATCTACTGGGTAGGGCTCGTAGGGTGAAAGCTTGGAGTTTTGAGGCGGGCGAACTTTTTGCTTGGGGGATCCTCCCTGACCCTAGCCCCCTTTTTGAGCTGCCCCAGAGAGCCCAGGGCCATCAGACCAATTTCTAGCACCAGAGGCCCAAGTCGGGCGATATGACTGGGATGTTGTTTCTGGACGGCTCGGCCCTGTTCCCTGGATCCAGGACTCTGTCCAAGGCTGGGTGGTCCGTCGTCATGTGTGATCGCGTTGGCGGAGTGCTAGCAGCTGCGTACGTCCCAGTCCCGTTGGACCAAGGGCCTTTGCAGTCGTCTCGATAGGCCGAGGACTATGATGTGAGCATGCTCTGCCAGGTAGTCATGCCCCCGTTCGAGCTTTACATCGATTGTAAAGGCACGGCCTCTACGCTCTGGAGTGGTCCTGGAGCTGGAGCTAGCGCAGAGAATCCTCGAGCCCAGTTGTGGGCTCCTTTTTGGGCGGCTTCCGAGCCCAACGATTTCACGGCCCACAAGACCAAAGCCCATTGCAGCATGGTGGATGTGCAGAATGATCGCACCACCTTGTGGGAGAAGCGTGGCGACGATGCCGCCGCCGAATTCGCGAAGCGGGGTGCCGCCCTCCACGGAGTGAAGGAGAGCGAGTACCATCTCTGGCGTGGCCTGGTCGGGGCATCTAGGAAGTGGGTCGGTGGAATGGGCGGTTGCACGCTTTGGTCGGTGAGGGAGAGGCCTGCCAGGACCACGATGATTTATGGAACGGTACCTGGCCAGCCATGAGCTGGCGGAGGCCCCGCCAGATGAGCTTGGGGACCAGCCAGGCGGGCGAGCGCAGGGGTCGGAGCGAGCTGAGCCCCCCCCTTCTTGCAACCCGGGCACCGCGACGTTGGGTACAATTTCAACGGCCACCCGCGTCTTCACGCCTCAGTGTGCGCCAAATCGGGTCGGGATGATGGCAAAACCATAAATTGCTGTTGTTGTTGTTCCCTACCTAGGCTCTGCCTAGAAGGGTTCTTACTCTCTACCTTAAAAGGGGCCGGGCAGTGGAAACCGCCCCGGGCGGTTCCCCCGGTATCCGCCCCGCGGTTCCCCCAGTTACGTCACCTTAGCTCAGCTTAGCTTCATATTAGCTCAGCTTTATATTAACATAGCATAACATAGCATAGCCAAACATATCATAGCATAGCACATCGTATCTCAGCACAGTATAACATAACATAGCACAGCATAGCATAGCATAGCGCAGCATATCATAGCATAACACAGCATAGCATAAACTTGCTTAGCATGGCACAGCGCAGCATAGCATATCAGAGCCCAGCATAGCATAGCATAGCATAGCATAGCGCAGCATAACATAGCATAGCATACCATAACATAGAGCATGTCATAGCATAGCATAGCCTATGACAGTATAGCATAGCGCAGCACATAATAGCATAGCATTGCGCAGCCTATCATATCATAGCACAGCGCAGCATGTCATAGCATACCATAGCCTGGCATAACACAGCGCAGCCGAGCGTACCCAAGCATGACATAGCATAGCATAGCGCAGCATAGCGTAGTATAGCACAGCATAGCAAAGCCTAGCACAGCATAGCATAGCGCAGCCTAGCATAACATATCATAGTATATCAGCAAAACAAAGGGCAACGCACCAGCAGCAACAGCAAAGCAAAGCACAAGCAACGCAAAGCATAGCATAGCTTAGCATCGGTGTAGATGTAGATGCTGCTTGTGGGTCTAGCATCGCGTAGCATAGCATACCCTAGCAGGCACATAGCATAGCATAGCTTAGCAACGGTGTAGATGTAGATGTTGTGTTCCTAAATGCTCCAACTCCTGGGTAGGATCGCTCTGGGATAATTGTTGTTGTGTTAGTGGTGCCTATTTCAGTGCTGAGCGCCCGGCGAAGGCCCTGCTTCTGCCGTGTCTCCGCGAGCTCCCGGGATCGGTCCTGAAGTACCAGCTGGCACTGATCAAGGCTGGCAAGTACCCTTCGTACAAGGCGGGTCTGAAGGACATATGCCTCGACACCCCAGTTGGCGTCCCGCTGGCGGTTCGGCTGCGTCTGGCATCGGTGTTTGGCTCTGGCGAGCCCACCCCCAGTGCCTCGGCTCAGGACGTTGGGGGAGGGGGGCTGCGTGGCGTGGGTACATCGAGGGGGATGACGTCCGAGCCGAGGTGCTGATGGCCTTTGGCCTTCGGGAGTCTGACCTGGCGGCCACCCGCGCCGAAGGGGCCAGACTCCTGCGCAAGGAGGCCGAGCATGGGCCTGAAGAGGCCCACGATTCTAAATTCGATGAGACCTCCGATGCCTCCAGTGGCGGGCGCTAAGCGCCCGAAAGCACCTGGCTTCAGGCCGCTTGCTCATCTCATCTCATCTCATCGTCCCCCTCCTTCTCCTCCTCCTCCTCCTCCTCCTCCTCCTCCTCCTCCTCCTCCTCCTCCTCCCCCGCCTCCTCCTCGTCCTCCTCCTCGTCCTCGTCCTCGTCCTCCCCCTCCTCCTCGTGCTCCTCCTCCTCCTCCTCCTCCTCCTCCTCGTCCTCGTCCTCGTCCTCGTCCTCCTCCTCCTTCCCCCTCCCTACCTGACTCCCTCCCTCCCTCCCTCCATTCTGCCTCTCCTTTTCCTCCCTCTCTTACTCCTCCTCCTCCCGCCCTCCGCCCCGCCCGTCAGCTCGGAATAGGCCGCGAAGGGAAGGGCATGGTCTGCTAGGGGTCGGTTTAGACCGCCCCTGGTCTTGGCCACCCCCTCTTTTCGCCCCCCCCTGCTTGGACAAGCGTTGAGTCGGGCGACCCAACAGTACTCAAAAAATAGTCCCCAGACTATTCTTTTCAAACTACTTTTGAATATCCCCCTGTAGCGGGACAGGCCCGACTTACCGCAAAGTAGCTACTCGCAAATGGCCTGGATCTATGAAATCGAAGCAAACAAGCTCCACTATATCGAACACACATTTTGTTTGCACGTTTGCGAATAGGCACTCTGCGAATGATGGAACGCGCTCGGTGACTATTGCGCAACGCCCGAACGCCCCCAGCGGCTCCGGTGCCGGAACTGCTCGTCGTTCTCCTTGAATGCCGTCCGGATGAGGGCGCACTCGCGGGCTATGACGGCGCGTTCCTGCTGACGCTGGCGCTCGGCCGGCTTCGGCTTCCGCTCGTCGTCGTCACCGTCGTTCGGAGCGGTCGGATCTGACAGTCGCTTGCCATCACGGGAGGGGCCATCAGGGGAGGGAGGGGGGTTCGAGGTTCGAACGTTTGGACGCGTCGGGTTCTTTCTGGAGCTCTGGGGGCCTCCAGAGTTCTCTGAGTCCGAAGGTCGTTAACTGCAAGGGTCGTCCTCAGGGGGCTGGAGGGGAGGGTTCTCAACAAGGAGATTGAGACTTCCATGGAGTTTGAAGGCGGCCCAGGTTGTCCTGAGAAAGGACTGATGCATAAGGAGAGGGGGAGGAGGAGGAGGAGGAGGAGGAGGAGGAGGAGGAGGAGGAGGAGGAGGAGGAGGAGGAGGAGGAGGAGGAGGAGGAGGAGGAGGAAGACAACAACGATGGCCACGATGACGATGGACGATGTGGAGGGAAGTCCAGAGGAGGAGCAGTGAGCAGAAGCAAGAAGCGGGAGGGAGAGGACTGCTGGAGAGGTGGTGGAGGAGCAGGCTCAGAAAATGGGGGAGAAGCAGACAGAAAGGGAAAGGAAGGGAGGAGTCCGAGGAATGTGAGCAGCACTGCCAAGCTCGGAGGACGGGATCTGGCCGTGGGCGGCGCCGCAGCTGCGACGTGCCCTAGGTGGCAACCCCTCCTGCGCGGTGTGAGCTCGGGCGACTGTGGTTCAATCGGGGTCCTCGTCTCCCCGTTCTCATCCTTCTCCTCCTCCACGTCCTCCTCCTCCGCCTCCTCCTCCTGCCCCTGCTCCTGGTCCTGGTCCTGCTCCTCCTCCTCCTCCTCCTCCTCCTCCTCCTCCTCCTCCTCCTCCTCCTCCCCCTCGATTACGTGTCGTCTTTCGGGGTCTTCGTCTCCCATTTCTTGTTCTTGACCCGCGTGTTGGTCCCAAACATTTTTCTTGGCAGAGATGGGATCACAACGTGGTCACCCTATGAAGAGTTCCCCCCGCAGAGAACGGCGGCAACAGCGGGAGAGGGGAGAGGTCCGCTTGCCCTCGAGGGGGCCGTCCCGCGCCACACTCAAGCCGACTCAACTCCAGCACCCGCGAAGGCCGACCAGACACTTTACCGCAAGTGCCTGGAGGTCACGCGCCGATCCCACCTACCACATCAGCAACGTCAGACAACATTGAAACCAACTCCCAGAACATTCATTATCGTTCGCAAAATCAGCTCATCGCGATGCTGCCACCCGCGTGTGAGACAGAACTTCTTGCCACATCAGCTGACTGCGAATCAGGCAAGGCGATTCACAAGTCCGAGCGGCTACAGACCAGATGATTGAGCGAGGTAGGTGCTACCGAAACAAAGGCAGCTGCAGAGACGGCAACACTACTTTTGAGACAAAATACCTCTGCGTGGAGGGATATACGTATGCGTGCGCATATAGGTATATGTATATAAACATACCTATATGCACATGATGATGTATTGCAACAACCTGCGGGAGCCGCACTGCAAGCTGGCGAAAAGCCAGGCGTGACGCCCCGAATATCGGAGACCTGCTGACTGGGGTCAATCCAGGCCCGGGTCACTCAGGCGTTGCAAAATCCTGCAGGTTTCTGCAAGATCCTGCAGGATCCTGCATCCCAGCCCGGGTCAGTGCGCACTTGGCTCTGCAGGATCCTGCAAGATCTGGCGCTCTGGCTGACACCCGTTTCCATTGACCCCCCGTCTGACATTCGTGAGACGGCGCTCCAAGCACGACTACTGCAGAAACGCCGCAGAATCAGACCGTCCCTAGGAGCGACCGAAGCAAGAGGAAAAGGACCCAAGAGTTCGGGCGGGAATGTCCTCCTACATGCGGATGTTGGAAGACAAATAAAACAAATGTCAAACAGTGATCCAAACATAATCGAAAGAGCACGAACAGTCGCTCCCAGACTATACTTCTTTTTACTCGTCTTGAACAGTCCTCCTGTAGAGGGACATGCCCGACTAAACCCAAGAACACTGAAAAAAAGAGAACGAAGAACACAAGAGCGGCGTAGGGCAGGAGAGCCCATCATCGAATTGACAAGTCGGATCGGCGATTGAAATGCATCGGATCGGCGGATATCGGCAGCCGAGTCAGGAGAAGTCGAATGGGCGGAAATCTGAAGGCTAGTATGCCTCCAGGGAGAAATCGGAGCCCACATCGGAGCCCGAATCGATCCGAATCGGAATCGGAAGCCATCGAAATCGAATCGAATCGGAGGAATCGAAACGAGCCCTGGCCAGTCAGTGGAGGCATGAAGATGCCTCCGCCGTCGCCGCCTCGGGGCGGGCACTTCTGCCATGGACGCGGCGCCGCACGCGCCGTCCTGCCGAGCGTGTCGTGAGCGACCGGCCCTCTCGCTCAGATGCCAGCCAACCGCGGTGACAGCTCATCCTCAAGACCCCACGCTTAGCAGCAAAGGGAGCCCTAACCCTGTGAGCGGGGACCTCGGCTAGGAGGGCCCAGAACAGGAGGGATAGGAGGTCTTTTCCGCAGATGCACCAAGCCGACCAGCCGATAATGATTACAGTCGAGGCCAATCTACAAGAAAGCTTCCACAAGAAGCCCAACCCTGAGACCCAGGACGTCCATTGAATTTTTGTGTGGGAACGTCGCGCTTTCCATAGCGAAACCGTCGGAACCCAAGAAACCCAGGGCACCCTGGAGGCAAGCAGGGTGCTTCTTGACATGGGTCTCCACTGTATCCCTCATGCAAAGACGGGGAACCTAATTGAGGCCACGCCTTCACTCTGCTATTGAGGTTATCGGGGATCTTCTGACCCGGGTCAATCCAGACCCAGGTCAGCAAGAAACCAAACACCGCAATGCATGAATACAAACTGCAACGCAGGTCTTCGCAAACCCGGGTCAGCCAATATGCGCGGCTGCCTCGCGGCCACGAGCGGCTCGCTGACCCAGGTCAGCCAGAGGGGGTCTTCGCAGGATCCTGCAGGATCCGGTGCCCTGGCTGACCCCCGTCTGCATCGATCCCCGTCTCAAGGCTCCCGTGGAGGCGCCCTGCCCTCCTTCACGCTGGCCCCGACCAGCTGCAGCGCCCGGGGAGAGGAGGAGGAGGAGGAGGAGGAGGAGGAGGAGGAGGAGGAGGAGGAGGTCAGTGGCGAGGGCACGGAGGAGCAGCGCCAGCACAGTGCGGCACGATGGGTGGAGAGGTCGGGGGGGGTGCTCCCAACGAGCGCAAACTCGTCCAGCAACCCTCCCTCCGCCGCCTCACTCCTCCACCTCCTCGTCTACTGAGGTGCCCTCACTCCTTCAATCGCCTCGCATCCGTCCCTGTCTTCGTCGTACTCCTCATGTTTTCTGTTTCTGCTCATCCTACTGCTCTACTTATCCTTCGCCTGCTCACCCTTCGCCTCCACTTCTGTATCACTCATACACCGTCTCTCTCTCTTCCTCTCTCTCTCTCTCTTGCCCCTTCATCCATCCGACGTCTCCATCCAGTCCTGGCTCTCCTGTTACATCCCCCCACTACAATCTCTCTCTATTTCATCTGCTGGTCCTCCGCCGCAGTCTTGCAGGCGCGGATGCTTCGGATGAGCTCCCGGAGCTTGATCGACATTGCTACCCGCAACGCCTCACGGGGAAGGAATGGAAGGTGAGGGAGCGGGACTGGACGGCGGGTGGCCAAAACATGTCCGTGCCCATTGCGCCAAGACAGCGCTACGACGAACTGTATCAAAACGACCGATAAGCCCTCCCCGCCCCACCCATAGTTGACAGCGGTGTGCGAGAGGCAACGCGTGAAGGACAATGAATAAGTGGACACTTCAACTTTGGGCTTGGGGGGGGCGGTACAAACGTTATATGAGATGTGATTCAGCATCGCGTGGTAAGGTCTTCGTGACATGGGTGTGGATACTTTTTGTCCAGCCACTAGAATCGGAATCGGAATCGAGCTCTGGGGGCACTAGGTTCGTCTGACCGTGTGAGTTGCCTGGGCAATTCCTGGTGTAAATCCACCAGTTTATAACATCAGATCAAAAACCTGTCTTCGCCCTGAGGACCTGTCAAGGAACTTCTGGGTGGCCGCTTGTGCAGACAGGAGCACTGCACTGGCGGTCTGAGGCAGCCTCGTTTGCCGACTAGGCTGAGGAGCCTCCCCGCACCACCAAAATCGACAGGGGGAAACAAGCAGTGGTGTGCAATTTTCCCTCCCTCCCCATCCCCGTCCGTCAGCCCCTCCATTTTCCCTTCTCTGAGGGCTGGAACTGTGAATGGGCGGATCTCCATACCAAAAAGAGGGCGAATCCGCATAGTCTCATCATCCTCCTGCACCTGACCGGTTCCGCACCTTCCTTCTTTTTGGACGCCCGAGCTGGACACAGTACTGGAAACGATGCCCGACAACAAATGTTCCCAAAAACCAAAAGCGGCCGCTGTTGGGCGGACCACCTTCTGTCTCAAATGGACAACGTACGCGGTGACACCGACAACGAACCCTGTTCAAACTGGAAAGGACATGCTGTCGGTTTGTGTTCCCATTCTCTCTGTGCCCACTTCGGTCGTCTCAATCCTTCTCCTCAGAAGGCGACGAAGATAACGAGAACGGGGAGAACGACGAAGTCCGAGGGAGAGGAACAAAAGAATGCTGATCATCAGGAGAAGGAGCCAGGGCAGAGCAAAACAATGACAATGACGAGGGTGCGGACTGGGTGGAACGCGGAACAACGAGCGACATGTCAACAGGACGTGGAGGAAGCAGCACGGTGCTCGCCATCCCTCGGGCGCTGATTCCCCGCGCGTGCTTCGTTTTCGCGCGTGTTTGCTGTGCTTGGTGGTCCAGGATGCTCAGCGATGTCCACGCCGAGAGAAACAAAACGCGCCCGCGCCCGAGCGATGCCGAGGGCGTTCCCCCCTGGCCCCCGATCGTCGAGGAGCCCTGCGAGCTTTCGTCGTCGGCGCTGCGTCCACAGCTGAGAACGGCCTCGTGTCCGTTCGCCCGTCCCCACTACCCCACACCCCTGGCCCGGTGGCAACTCATGGGAGCCTCCCGTGCCATCCTGTCGGCTCTTGCGAATCGACGCTCAATCGACGCTCAATCGACGCTCATCGACGCTACATCGGCGCTATCTCGTCGACTCCCCGACGCCAGTCGACGCCAATCGACGAGGAGGAGGAGGACGAGGAGGGGGAGGAGGAGGATGAGGAAGGGGGGGAGGAGGAGGAGGTCCAATGTGGTTTTTGTTCTTGCGAGCGTGCTCTTGCAAGAGAACCCTGCAAGGTCTTCAGAACCCCCCCTTTAGGGGGTAACCAACTATTTTCTGGCGGCCTATTGGCAGTGTTGGGGACCCACCAATAGGGGGGTACTAACTATTCTTGTTCCGCGGCACCCGCCGCGCAACAACAAAGACGACAGCTACGACGACGACAGCTACTCCACCTCCTCCTCCTCCTCCTCCTCCTCCTCCTCCTCCTCCTCCTCCTCCTCCTTAGGAATGACACGGGGAGGAGCGGGAGGAGGACGAGGAGGAGGAAGAGGAGGCGAAAGAGGAGCAGGAGGAGTAGAAGGAGGAGGGGGAGAGGGGGCAGGAGGAGGAAGAGGAGGAGCAGGACGAAGAGGGGCCAATTTTGGGACGAGTCCTCTTCACCGCCGAGAGACAAGGGGGGGAAGGGGACCAAAACAAAAGACCTCCCTCGGTGAATGCTTCGGACCTTTCTCCCCGCACGACACCCCGGCTTGCCATCGCTCGGACGCTCGTTTCCCGTGCATGTCTCGACCTCGTGCGCTCATTTCTCGAAGCTGCTCCAGAATGCTCCGCGATGGTCCCCGCCGAGGAACAAAAAAAAACACGTCCGAGCGATGCCAGAGAGATAGCGGAGAAGGAGGAGGAGGAGGACGAGGAGGAGAAAGAGGAGGAGGAGGAGGAGGAGGAGGAGGAGGAGGAGGAGGAGGAATGGGGAGGCGGAGGAGGAGGAGGAGGAGGAGGGAAGAGGAGGAGGAGGAGGAGGAGGAGGAGGAGGAGGAGGAGTTGGGGGTTCTGGACGCATGGAAACCACACCACACAAACAATCGCCCTGCCCGCCCCGCGCACCCCCTGCGCAGTATGGCCGCCAGGCCCATTCTCTCTCTTCGGGGGCGGCCAAGAGGGGGGCGTCCCAGAGGCGGGGGGGGGGGGGGCAAATCATGGCCGCAGGGGGAGGGGGCCGGGGACGAATTGCAATAAGAAGAGGCGCCACGAAATTTGGGGGGATATCATGACACCCGCCATGATATGCCCCCCCTAATCGTCACCCCCCTCTTTACCGCCCCCGATCTCTAAGGAATTTCCAGTGCTCCCTGGGTATAGCCCGCCTCTGGGCGCCTCCGACGACTGACGACCGCACACACTGGCTGCCAGGTCCCAGGGGTCGGCGGCGAGCTCGGGACGAGGACGCAGACGACGACAATCGGCGGCGAGGTTTCGGATTCGATGTTTTAGGTTTCGGGACGTTTTCGTCGGTGCTCGGCGGCTTTCCAGCCTCGGGATGCGTTCCAGCAGCTGCGCCTCGCCGAGAGCGTTCCGGGTGTGTCTGGATCGTTCCGAACGGCCGCTGGGGAGCCGAGCTATGATCCGAAAACTAAACTCGGCGGCGCGCAGGGGGGAACGTGAGAAGGAGAAGGGCCTCTCAGAAGGCGGAGGGACTTCTCAGAAGCCCTCGCGCCCTCGGAGAAGCTTTCTCTATCTTCAAGGAAGGCTTAGAACACTTCTCAGAAGGCTGGGGGACTTCCCGGCCTTCTGAGAAGGCCCGCCCCTTCTCACTTCTCTCCCTCGCTCGCCGCCGAAAGGGGCCCAGTGCTCCCTGGTTCCAATGGGCCCTGGAAACGACAAGGCCGTTTTTGATACCGGTTTCGATTTGCCGTTTTTATTGCTGCATCCGACGCCGTTTTTGTTGGCCATTCCTCCCTGTGATTTTACAGGTTCCAGCTCTGGATCCAATCACGGAGTTGTTTTGTTACCATTTCTGGTCGCCGTGTTTTTGTCCGTTCCCAGTTTCAAAAGACGTGTTTGCGGAAGCGGTGGAAAAAACTGCCTTGCCGTTTCCGGGCTCCACCAAGTCCCTGGGTATCCTGCGTCGCACTCTGGAGCGGGGATCTCTCGACGCGGCTCACGCGTCGCACTCTCGACGCGTGAGCCTTCTGGCCTTTTGTACCATGATACTAATAATATGATCTTGGGGAAGCCAAGAAAGTACTGTACAGATACCGCTAATTCCCAGACCTCTCTGGGGGTGCGTTCTGACAAGAGATTCGAAAAGAATCCAGCGGTGGCGACGAGGGCCTCCCAGGATGCCGAAAAAGGGGAAAACGGGCGAAGGGCAACAATATGGGCACCTCTTTCCACCTCCGACATCTGCCGATGCGCCGTCTTGGCGCGGCCTCTTCCTGCCTCCTACTCGGATTGTCCTGCGGGCTCTCTTCGACTCGCCATCGCACAGACGTCCACTTCCCGTGCATTTCTGCGTCTTGGTGTCGTGTGTGTGTACATTCTTCGCACGATGGTCCAAGATGCTCCTCGATGGCCCTCGCCGAGAAAAAGATGACGAACGATCAACACGCACACATACCCATAGGTGGGACGGAATGAGCTATGGGCGCGCGTTGTCGGGCGGGGGTCCCCGCTCGAACGGGAGCCTCCCCAGGAGTCCGACAACGCGCACCCATACCCATCGAAAAAAGACAACGGCACAAAGATACGAAAACTTTTGGCGCTCCGCGCGCCAGGGGGGGGGGGGGGCGGCGCGGATCCAAGAGATCCGCGCGGAGCGCCAAACATGTGCGTCTATGGCGCTTTTCCTTCTTCGAACATACAGGAACCACCGACGGCGACGACAACCCACAAATCGACGGGCGAAAGTTTGACCACCTCTCCATGGCCGCGAGGCACCACCTGGGGCTGGGCTCCGCGGCCACTCCACGGGGGAGGGAGCCCTGAGTGGTGCCCGGAGCTCCCCCCGGGACGAGGGAGCGAGCCCCTCCCCGCAGTCCCAACGTCAGCGGATTGCGCCTCGCCAGCCTCGCCGAGGTGGGCACGGAGGAGGAGGAGTGCAGAACACGGCACTGGTTCGCACGGCGTGGCCTTCACGATGGGCAACGGGAGACCAACCGCTCCCGCCATCGTCCATCTCTAGGTTCCAATGGCCGGGCCCCCAAGACGGGCCACGAGGCTCCCGAGTCCCGTCCTGGGCGGTTCTGAGGGCCCTGACTCATCGCTTGTGGGCCGCCCTGGGGCAATCTCGGGGGCCTCGCGGAACTTCTCGGGCGCCGTGACGAGTGAGACAGCAAGCGTGAGCAACACACCAGACCGCAACAAATGTGGCCTCTCGGGAGGCTCGACGGAGCGCCTCGGAAAAGGCACCGTGGGCGTCTTGGTGCGGGACTTGGCGGCCGGGGGGGCGACCAACAGGGGGGGCCTGGCTCAGGTGGGTGGGGGACTGGAGGAAGAGAAAACGCCATGAGCGTAAACTTTTGGCGCTCCGCGCGGATTTCTCGGACCTGCGCTGGACCCCCCCCCTCCCTGGCGCGCGGAGCGCGCCAGAGGCGGCGCTGCAGGCGCCGCCGGGGGTGGCCCAGCGCAGATCCGAGAAATCCGCCGCGGCACGCCACACATTCATGTTTACGGTGCCTGTTCTTCTTCGAAGGGGGGTGGAGGGGCGACCGACAGGGGGCCCAGCTCAGGGGGGGGGGGGGGGGACCACGACCTGGGGTCGGCGACAGATTGCCGACAGATCCGCGGCGTTTTCGAAAGGGAGTGGGGGCGACCGACAGGGGGCCCAGCTCGGGGGGGGGGGGGGGACCTCGACCTGGAATCGGCGACAGACTGCCGACAGATCGGCGGCGGCAGGTCCGCGACAGCGAAGCCGCACAGGCCCCCGAGCGGGGCAGGCACTCGGGCCCCGGGTCGGCGCCGCAGGGGCGAGCGGGGGGCCGAGGCGGCCCCTCTGTGGCCCAAAGAGCCTGCCGTTTTTGACTCGGGCAAGCTTACACGTCGGTCGGAAGAAGTAGGTAGAAACATGAAGTAGGAAGGCGGATGAAGTGGATTGGGTCCAGGCCCTCCCAGGGAACAACAAAAACACAGCAAAATCATGCCGATTCTTGAAGTAGGAAGGCACTTGAAGTGGATTGGGATCTGGGAATCAAAACATTACCTACTTTCAACGACCGACGTGTAATTACATAGACGTGGTGGGAGGCTGAGCCGGAAGCAGGCAGAAAACAACTTGACATGCAGAAATCATGCAAGCCGAAAGGCACTTGCACGCTCGTGTTCGACTGAAGAGGGGCGAGGGAGGGGGTCGAACGCCATGCGAGCAAATTTGCCTGGATCTAAAGAACAACAAGCTCAACAAACTGCATAAACCTAAACTTTTGGCGCTCCGCGCGGACTTCTCGGATCCAAGAAATCCGCGCGGAACGCCAAACGTTTATGTTTATGGTGCGTCTTCTACTTATCCTTATTCTTCTTCTTCTTCTGCTAAAGGGGGGGGAGGGGGCGATCGACACGGGTCCCGGCTCAGGTGGGGGGCCTCGACCTGGATATCGTTTTTGTTTCGTCTTCGAGGGGGGGGCGACCGACAAGGGGCTCGGCTCAGGGGAGGGGTGACCTCGACCTGGAATCGGCGATACCCATCGGTCGGAAGAAGTAGGCAGGTAGAACTATGACGCAGGAAGGCGTTGAACGTAGATTGGGCTCCCTCCGCCCCCTTGGGAGGACGGAAGGGTGGAGCCACTCGACCGTTGCAGCAGGAAGGCGCTCGAAGTGGACTGGACTAGGGGAACCCTCGGGGATCCTCTGACCCGGGTCAATCCAGACCCGGGTCAGCAGGAAACCAAACACCGCAATGCAGGAAAAAAAAACTGCAACGCAGGTCCTCGCAAACCCGGGTCAGCCAATACGCGCGGCCGCCTCGCGGCCACGAGCGGCTCCCTAACCCGGGTCAGCCAGAGGGGGCCTTCGCAGGATCCTGCAGGATCCGGCGCCCTGGCTGACCCCCGTTTGCACTGACCCCCGTCTCGAGGCTCCCGAAACCCAAGCAAACCTGCTTTCGACGACCGGGCGGGCAAAAGCTGCGGACAGGCCGGCGGCAGCCCCGCACAGAGCGGGGCTGCCGCACGGGGCCCCCGAGGGGGGGCGGGGCAGGCTCTCGGACCCCCGGGCCGGCGCGGGCAAGGGGCGAGCGGGGGGCCGAGGCGTCCACCCTGGGAGCCTACGTACGGTCAGGTCGGGCATGTCCTCCTACAGGCGGGCTGTGGAGGAGCAAACGGCAAAGCAGTCGAGAGATGCCCAGGCATGGTCGAGGTGAGTCCCAAACTGGTGCCCAGGCCATGTTTTTTGTTAAAACTATGTTTGGGTATTCCTCCTGTAGAGGGACATGTCCGACTTGAGCATACAGCAGGAGCCCGATCACAAGAGATGCCTTCCACGAGAAACCCAACCCTGAGACCCCAGGACGCTCATTGATGTTTTGTCAAGGAACGTCACGCCTTCCATGGCAAAGCAATCGAAAACCAAGACGCCCAGGGCACCCTGAAGACAAGCAGGGTCTCTTAGCAGGGTCTCCACTATCCCAGTGCTTCTGAGAATGAGGCTGCTTCTTAGAAACAGCAGGCTTACATCTGTAGATGAGGCCCGCGCCTTCTGAGAAGCAGCCTCCTTGTAAGAAGCCTTCCCCCCTCCCCCTTCCCCCAATCCTGCGACGCCCTGATTTTATCAATACGTGGTCCCTGGAAGCCCCGACCTTTTTTTCCCGGGACCGGATTTTCATCCTTGAGGCGTTTTTAAACGGTCCCGGGGCCCGGCGGCGGCCCCGAGAAGCCGAAAACGACCCTCCGGTCCTGATCGTTTCACAAGGCGAGCACGTCTGGGTTTGCATTCCTCCAAACCTCAAGGTGCCACGGGACCCTTTCCTTGGGCCGCAAACCCTCGGAGGAGAGCCGAAAATTGACGGATTATGTCTGGGCCCCCCTTCTGCGCGTGGCCGAACATGGACACAGGTCTTTCCCCCATCGTTGCCAACGACGGCGGCGACGACGACGACGACGACGACGACGGGCGACGACGACGACGACGACGACGGGCGACGACGGCAACGACGACGACGACGACGACCACCACCACCACCACGACCACGACCACCACCACCACCACCACCACCACCTCAACACACACACACACACACACACACACCCGCGCGGCGCCTCTGCTCCAGGAGAGCGCCCGCTCCGCCTTTGAGGGGCAACGATAGGGGGAATAGGCATAGAGCGGATGCATCGACCTGGAATCGGCGATACATCGCCGATGGATCGGCGATACGGGTTGGGGCTATCGGGCCCCTATCGGCGATCAATGGGCGATTGGGGGTCGATGCATCCCCCCCTATTTTGGACGCCCGAAATGGGTACGGAAAAAATGGGTACAATGCCCAACAACAAATGTCGTTCCAAACCAACAGCGGCCGCTGTTGGGCCGGCGGCCTTCTGTCTCGAATGGACACAGGCCGCGGCGGCGTGGACAGCGAGTCCTGTTCAAAATGAACAGGAATTGCTGTTGGGCATTGTACCCATTCTTTCCGTACAGTCGGGGCCTTGACCTAAGGAACCCAAAATAAGGAACGAGGCCCCTTTTTTACCATAAGTTGAACTGCGATTTCCCATCGAAAACATAAGGAAAACCTGAGGCAAGCTGTGAAACACGTAAGGAACACGGAGCCCCTCCCCAACGAAAAGGGTTCCTTCTTCAGGGCCCCGACTGTATGCCTATCCCCCCTTATCGTTGCCCGCTCCGCCTGCTGCCGACCCCGCGCGCCTGCCTCACGCCGCCCCGCGGGGCATACGGGGCGGCCCGCGCGTGCCACGGCGCTCCAGGCGCTGCGGAACGCGGCGCCGGGCCGCACTGCGTCGCCGTCGCGCCGCCACCGCCGCCGCCGTCGTCGTCGTCGTCGTCGTCGTCGTCGTCGGCGTCGGTGTCGGCGCCGGGCTCGTCGTCGTCGTCGCAAGTTGCTCCTCCGAGGGCCTGTGGCCCAAGGAACGAATCCCGTGGCACGTTGATGCGGCCCCTGTGGGGGTCCCCGGACGAACAGTACCCTGGGAGGAGCCCGCAGTTCGGGTCAGAGATGGCTCTCCTCCTGTGTGCGTGCGGCCTTTCAGGCGCCCCGGAGCGCTCCAAGAGGACCCAAACAGACCCCCAGGACGGACCAAGAGGGCTCCGAGTCGCCGACCGATCCATCCAAGACGCCCAAGATGGCCTCCAGACGGCCGAAGACACATCCAAGACGCCCCAAGAGGCCTCCAAGAGACGTCTCAACCCTAGAGGAAACAATTCCTGATTCCCCTTCTGTTTTCCCCAACCATCCTGTGGTGTTGGGTCCTCGTTTTGAAAAAACGGTCCCCGCGTTCCCTCCCTCCCTCCTTCCCTCCCTCCTTCCTTCCTCCTCCCCTCCTCCCTTCACCGCCCGCATGCGTCACGCACACCCAATTCGGCATACCCCTCACACGCTTCATCGCCCCATGGGGTGTTCCACCGAAGGCCCCAGTGGCAGGGTCCGCATGCACTTCCACATCCACTTCGGCGCACCCCTCACATGTTTCGTGGCCCCAAAGGGTGCTCCGCCGAAGACCCCAGTGGCAGGGTCCGCATGCATTTCAACTTCCATTCCGACGCATCCCTCACACGTTTCGTGGCCCCATGGGGTGTTCCGCAGAAGGCCCAAGTGGCAGGGTCCGCATGCAGGTCCACCTACATTCCGACGCACCCCTCACACGCTTCATCGCCCCATAGGGAGCTCCACCGAAGGCCCCAGTGGCAGGGTCCGCATGCAGTTGCACATCCACTTCGGCGCACCCCTCACACGTTTCGTGGCCCCATAGGGTGCTCCGCCGAAGGCCCGAGTGGCAGGGTCCGCATGCAGTTCCACCTCCATTCCGACGCACCCCTCACACGTTCAGTGGCCCCAAAGGGTGCTCCGCCGAAGGCCCCAGTGGCAGGGTCCGCATGCAGTTCCATCCCAATTCTGGCGCATTCTCACACGTTCTGCGGCCCCATAGGGTACTCCGCCGAAGGCCCGAGTGGCAGGGTCCGCATGCAGTTCCACCTCCAGTTCGGCGCACCCCTCACACGTTTCGTGGCCCCATGGGGTGTTCCGCCGAAGGCCCCAATGCCAGGTTCCGCATGCAGTTCCACCTCCAGTTCGGCGCACCCCTCACACGTTTCGCGGCCCCGTATGGTGCTCAGCCGAAGGTCCCAGTGTCAGGGATCGCATGCAGTTCCCCCCCAATCCGGCGCAGCCCTCACATTTTCATGGCCCCACACCCCAGTGGCAGGGTCCGCATGCAGTTCCATCTCCAGTTCGGCGCACCCCTCACACGCTTCATCGCCCCATAGGGAGCTCCGCCCAAGGCCCTAGCAGTGGCAGCGCCGGCAGACGGTTCCACCCTGCCTTCGGGCGCACCCCTCACACGTTCCGTGGCCTCACATTGGGCTCCACCGACGGCTCCAGTGGCAACGTCCGCATGTCGTACCCGTGTCAATTTCGGCACACACGTGACACGCGTCGTGACCTCAGAGATGTTCACCGAGGTCGAGACCCACAACTGCGTTTCTCACAACTGCACATGGTTGGGTCCCTCGCCAGGATAATTCAAGGATGTTTGCATTCTCGCTTGTTCGGCTTCCGGGCGCTTCAAGACGGACCAAGATCGCCCAATGATGACCCAAGAGGCCTAAACAGGGCCCCCAAGCGGCCCAAGAAGCCTCCAAGACGGCCCAAGAGGCACCCAAGACGGCGTGAACAGGTGGACCGAACGGGGAACCCGAACTGGTGTTTCCAGCCCTCGGCCCCACTCGAGGACCCAAGAGGCCCCCAAGGCCCCCAAGAGAAAAAGAGACCCAAAAAGGCCCCCAAGAAGCCCGAAAGTAGGCCCCCAAGAGGCCCCCAGAAGCCCAAAGGAGGTCCACAAAAGGCCCCCGTGAGACCCCAGTGAGGCCCGAGGCGGTCCCCAAAAATACCACCAAGCGGCCCCCGATAGGCCCCCCAAGGACCCCAAGAAGCCTCACGAAGAAGCGTCTTGTCCACGACCACCAAGACGCTCCCCAGAGGCGCCAAGAGGCCCCCGTCAGGCCCCAGGTGGTCACAGAAATACCGCCAAGAGGCTCCCGAGTGGCCTCCCAAGGACAGACACCAAGAAGCCTCCCCACGACCAAGTTTGGCCCCATAATGCTCTAAGAAGCTGTCGAGAGTCCTCCTCCTTGTCCTCATCCTCCCCTCGTCATCCTCCTTCTCCTCCTGCTCCTCTATCTCCATCTCGCCTCGAGCACACCCGTATGTACCATGACGGCACATGACGGCCTCCCAACAAGCCCCCCAGAAACAGCTACACAGGAACGACCACCGCCTAGCAGCGCAACATGGGCAACAAACGCGCGGGCAACATCCAGCGATGCCACATCACAGTGGAGGCCAGTCCACAAGAAACCCTACCATGAGACCCCAAGACGTCAATTGATTTTTGGTGTGGGAACGTCACGCTTTCCGTTGCAAAGCCATCGGCAACCACGACACCCAAGGCACACTGGAGGCAAGCAGGGTGTCTCTTGGCATGGGTCTCCACTGCATGGGTCGGCGGACGGAGAGAAGCGATTCAAGAAGGACCACCTTGGCATCAGGAGGGGCTCTGGCTTTCGGGCCGTTCCTTAGGTCGAGGTAGTGGAAACTATTCGTGGCCGAGGCTCGCCGTGGCCAACAAGCGCCCCCTCGTTCCTTGTCCGTCGTTCCTTGCGGTAGCACGATGACCGCATGCGCCCGCAGCATCTTGCACAGAGCAACTGGCCACAGCCATGTTACTTACTTACAGTCGACCCGTATCATGAGGATGCGCGGTAAGGATGCAAGGGCGTTGGAAGGCCCATGCCGACACTTTGCGAGCGGGGCGCGGCCAGCGGAAGTCGTTAAGGATGGGCCGAAAGGGCGAGGATGTAAGGGTCAGGCTGCCCATCCTTACTATGCGGGCCGACTGTACAGGTGTGCAGCGGAGTCGGATGAAAACCCCAGGCCAGCGACAGAGGAAACGCGAGCGGGCAACGCAGAACCGAGAGGGCCGCCGAGGGATGGGCAGGGGCAACCGCGGAGAATCGAACAAGACATTCGTCGTCGTCGTCGTCGTCGTCATCGCCGTCGCCTTTTTAAAACACAACTGAAGGCCCCCGACGTCGTGTTTTTTCACACGTCGACCCCCAGGTGCCTGGACCCCTTCCCGGGACCGGATTTTCATCCCGAGTCCCAACCATTCTGTGGTGTTGGGTCCTCGTTTTGAAGAGACAGCGCCCCGCGTTCCTCCTCTCATCCTCTCCTCCTCCTCCTCCTCCTCCTCCTCCTCCTCCTCCTCCTCCTCCTCCTCCTCCTCCCCCTCTTCCCTCCTCCACTCCCTGCCTCTGCCCTCCGCATACCCATTTCTGCGCACCACTCACACGTTTCGTGGCCCCATAGGGCGCTCCGCCGAAGGCCCCAGTGGCAGGGTCAACATGCAGTTCCGCCTCCAGTTCAGCGCACCCCTCGAACCTTCGGTGGCCCCAGAAGGTGCTCCACCGAAGGCCCCAGAGGCAGAGACAGCATGCAATTCCACCCCCAATCCAGCGCACCCCTCGCTTGTTTGGTGGCCCCGTAGGGTGCTGCACCCAAGGCCCCGGTGGCAGGGTCCGCATGATGTTACACCCTCATTTCAGCGCACCCCTCGCACGTTTCGTGGCCCCATAGGGCGCTCCACCGAAGGCCCCAGTGGCAGGGTCCGCATGCAGTTCCACCTTCATTCCGACGCACCCCTCACACGTTTCGTGGCCCCAAAGGGTGCTGCACCCAAGACCCCAGTGGCAGGGTCCGCATGCAGTTCCACCTCCATTTCGGCGCACCCCTCGCACGTTCGGTGGCCCCAGAAGGTGCTCCACCGAAGGCCCCAGTGGCAGGGACCGCATGCAGTTCCACCCCCAATCTGGCCCAACCCTCACACGTTTCGTGGCCCCATCGGGTGCTCCACCGAATACCCCAATGGCCGCGCCCGCATGCAATTCCCCCTTTTATTTCAGCGCACCCTTCACACGTTTCGTGGCCCCATAGGGAGATCCGCCAAGGGCCCTAGTGACAACGTCTGCATGGCATACTCGTGCTAATTTTGGCACACCCGTCATACGAGTCGTGGCCCCAGCGAGTGGTTCACCGAGGACGATGCCCACAATTGCATCACTCGCAACTGCACATGGTTGAGTCCTCTGCCAGGATAATCGTTCACGGTCCCGGGACCCAGCGAGGGCCCCCAGAGACCGAAAATGGTCAAAAACCTACCGTCGTGATTTTGTCCCGGCGCGAGGGGGTCGGGGCTTTCGGCAGTTCGCGCGGATATCTTGGACTTGGAATACCAAATGGGACCTGCTCCAGACCTGCTCCAGAACAGGAACATACCGTAGACGGATCGACCCTTTCTCCGACCTTGCACCGCGCCAAACACAACGGCCACGTTGACCATAAACGCATCCACCCAGAACGTGCCTGTGGACGTCACGGCACCCAACGTGTCCGTAGACGCTTGTGGCTGGGACGTGAGAGCGGTGTTTGGCATCGGCCCAAGATGTTGGTCTCCTGGAAGCAGGTAGGCTTAGCCCTCCCACCCCGATCCCTGGGTTGGAAGAGAAGCAACCGAAGGGACAACAGCTTCGAGAGGTCCGCGCGGGTCGGTGCTGAACCCCCTCGCTGGCGCGCGGAGCGCGCTGTGCGGCGGCACCTGAGGCGCCGTCAGAGGGGGATCCAGCGACGATCCAAGAAATTCGAGCGGACCTCCAATATTGTCAAGTCGGGCATGCCCCCCTACACTCGGAACTTGGAAGAACAGAACAGCAGCCAAACCATTCCTCAAAATAATCAAACAAAAACTGAAACAAATCCCGCTGGGGCAGCGCCGGAAGAGCCAACCCTTGGCGCGTTTCGCGCAAAGGACACGGGCGGCGGCCCCCCCGGCGCGGATCCGAGAGGAGCCGCGCAGACCTACGGCAGCCTTTGTGCATGCGCTGCTGGCCTGCCTCGACGACGACGACGCCAGCGGCCGAGACCGACGGCCGGCCACAGCGGCGGAGGCGGCGGCGGCGGCAACGACCACGACGAAGACGACGACGACGACGACCGCGACGACGACGACAACCACGGCGGCGGCGACGGCGACGGCGACGACGACGACAACGACGACGACGACGACGACGACGACGACGACGACGACGACGACGACGACGACGGCGGCGGCGGCGGCGGCGGCGGCGGCCGCGACGACCACGACAACGACGACGACGACGACGACGATGATGACCGCCATCGTCGTCGTCGCCGCCGCCGCCCCCAGCGCCCGGCATCAGGCCGACATCGGCGCCAAGCGGCAGGCGTCCGCCGGACGTGCGCGCCTTCTCCCGCCCCCGGCCAGTGGGCGAGTTTTTCTCGCGCCCGCCGGCCGTGCCGCCTCAGGCGCTTGGCTTGGCAGGCTTGGCCTCGGAGGGAGGGAGGGAGGGAGGGGAGGGAGGGAGGGAAGGAAGGAGGAGGAGGGAGGGAGAGGAGGAGGAGGAGGAGGAGGAGGAGGAGGAGGAGTTTTTTCCAGCATATTCATTTCTCACATGGTGAGTTTCCGCCGCGCCTCGTCGCCCGAGCTTCCCCTCTGCAGCACCTCGGGCGGACGTCCACACTCCAGTGACCTGTCCGCGCGTAGGCACCTCTGCTTCTCACACTTCTCACAATCAGCGCTCCTCTTCTCCAGCCTCGCACGCGCGGCGTATCCTGACGCTTTTGCTCGAAGCCTTCGCCCTCGTAGCCCTCAGGAGCAGCATGTTGTCGAAATCTGCTCTGAGGGGCCACGTGGGCCTCCCGCTCGACCCTGTGATGGTGAAGGTGCCGTTTTTTCTTACCATCTGGGTGGAGATATCTTTGATATCGCCTCTCCGCCTTCCTCTGGTCAGCCTTCGGGAATGGCCCCCACTTTCCATGTACGTCCTCCGCTTCCCATTGGATTCCAGCACTGTAGCTGATGGCATCGGGAACTACCGCTTCGCCGACTTCTAGCCACGTCCTGGCGATTCGGGCGCGTGCTCTCCACATGGCCCTGCTGACGCTGTAGCTGCTCACGCTCTCCGTCTTCTCGGATCCAGCCGTGGCGACAAAGTGGGACGAGGAGGAGCTAGGGATGTAGGGCTCTAGCTTCGCCCCCGCCGTTTCCTTCCATTTTTCGCACTTCTCGCTGGGCTCTGTCTTCGCCTTCGCATTCTCGCACGCCCTGATCCCAGCGCTGTAGCTGACGGTGTCGGGCTCTATCTTCGCCTTCCACTCCTCGCGCGCGCTGTTCCCAGTGCTGTGGCTACTAATAGATGGCTCTATATCCGCCTTCCACTGATCGCATTTTCCACTTGGCTCTGGCTTCCCTTTCTCGCATGCCCTGATAGCAGCGCTGTAGCAGATGGTGTCGGGCTCTACCCTCGCCTTCCACTTCTCACACGCGCCGTCGGGCTCCAGCTTCGCCTTTCCCTTCTCACTTGCCCTGATCTCAGCGCTGTAGCTTCTGGTGTCGGGTTCGTGCGTCGCCTTCCATTTCTCGCACGCGCTGACCCTAGTGTAGGGGCTAGCGATGTCGGGCTCCAACTTCGCCTCTCCCCTGTCGTACGCCGTCCACTTCTCGCAGGTTTCGCTTGGCTCCGGCTTCCCTTTCTCGCATGCCTTGATAACAGCGCTGTGGCCGATGGTGTCGGGCTTTATCTTCGCCTTCCACTTCTCGCACGCGCTGTCCGCGTTGCTGGGGCTCGCGCTGTCGGGCTCCAGCTTCGCCTCTCCCCTCACATACGCCTTCCACGCCTCGCACGTTCCGCTTGGCTGTGGCTTCCCCTTCTCGCATGCCCAGACAGCAGAGCTGCAGCAGATGGTGTCGGGCTCTATCTTCGCCTTCCACTTTTCGCACGCGCTGACCTTTTTGCTGCGGCTAGCGAGGCAGGGCTCTACCTTCGCCTGTCCCTTCTCGCACGCTCTGGTTCCAGCGTTGTAGCTGATGGTGTTGGGCACAATCTTCACCTTCCATTCCTCGCACGCGCTGTCCCCAGTGCTGTGGCTAGCGATGTCGGGCTCTAGCTTCGCCTTCCCATTCTCGCACGCCCTGTCCCCAGCGCTGTAGCCGAAGGTGGCGGGTTCGATCTCCGCCTCCCGCTTCTCGCACTCCTGCCACTACCCGCTTGTGCTGGGCTGCCACTGCCGCTCCTCGTAGGCCCCCGCCCACGGGAGGCCCCACCAGGGCCAAGGCTGCTGGAACTGGACCGCCCAGTCGTCCACCTCGGCCTGGCGGCAGGTGGCCAGGCGGAGCCGTCGATCTGCGCGGCGGCGGCTGCTGCTCACGGCCATGAGGGGCCTCCCTCCGTCGATGGGCCCACACCACGTCGCAGCATGCAGCATCCTGACCGCGCGCACGCGCCTTCACCGGGGCTGGGGGCTCCCCGATCGCGGGCCGACCGCCGCGCGCCGCCGCGGGCAAGACGGCTGCGGGGCCTCACCGAGGAGCCACCTAGTAGGAGGAGGAGGAGGAGGAGTAGGAGGAGGAGGAGTAGGAGGAGGAGGAGGAGGAGGAGGAGGAGGGTTCTCATTGGCAGCGGCGACGGACCCCCCCCCGCCCCCGGATGCGTCACCCCCCACCCCAACGTCGCAGCCAAGGCGCCCCCCCTCTCCCTAAGGCTCCCCCCCCGAGCTGCTCATGGCCCCCTCCTGGGCACCTGTGTGCACGGCGGCCGCGGCCTCACGGCCTGAGGCCGACGGGAACGGCGCTAACGCTAAAAGGCCAACTGCTGCCCCTCCCCGATGAGTCTAGGCGCGACCACCCAAGTAGTCTTCTCCTGGACTTGGGCGGGCCCCGCCTCTCCTGGCGCTGGCCCCCTGCGGGGTGCTACCGATGGACCGCCCCAGAACGCTGCCTCCGGCAGCGGGGCGAGCCCCCAAGAGCCCCCAAGAGGCCCCCCCGGAGGAACCCAAGACGCCCCAAGAGCCCTCGGCGAGAAGGCCCAAATCAATGACATGACTTCGCTTTGGGCAACATGTTGGCCTCGTGGTGGGAGGGGGGGTTCATGTCACCAGCCCTATGGGCGTGAGTGGACAAGAGCGTTTCGTTTTCCACCCCTCCTTCTTACCCCTCTTGGAAGGGATTTGCCATTGCTCCCTATCAATAAGCACACCCTTCCCAGGCGACCGGCAGCCCCCTTGACCTTGACCAGGACAAATGACCCCCCTACAATCCATTCAAACAAAAAGAGCAAAATCCATGTTGGAGAAACTATTGGGTCATGCTCGTGGACTCCACGAGCACTTTGCATTGTTTCTTTGACAAAGACGGCGGGGGTGTTATCAGATTGCCTGCTGTGCGCAAGGCCACCACGGCAAAATCTGGATCATGTGCGGCCACCCTGCGATTATTGCCCATTTGGTTTTGATCAAGACAGTGGGGATGCTGGCATATTGCCTCCTGTGTGCAAGCTCACCAGAAACCATGATGGCCTCCCGCTGCGATTGTGCATGGATTCTCGATAAGGATGGTGGATGCCCACGTGTTTTTTCACGATGTATTATACCACGTGCGCGGGCGCATCTGGTACACTCTGCGCGTGCCCCAAACGTGGCGCACCTGGCACAGCTGGACCATGCGGCACACATGGCGCACTTGGAGCACGTGGCGCATCTGGGCTAAAAGGCGTGCCTGCCACGCTTGGGCCCCACGGGTGCCTGGCGCACATGGCGCGCGTGGCGCGCCTGGCACGCGAGGCACACCTCGCCGCAGCGTCGCAAACGTGGGGTCTGCGTTGGTTTCCAGCAGCTGTCCATCCATAGACGACCGCTGAAACATGCTGAGGCTCGGGCCCGGGCATTACTAGGGCGGGTGGGAGTGAGCGAGACAGCTTGCGGGCGGGAAGGGCGTCGTGACACTCCCCCGAAGCTCCTACCCCTGCGTTTGGAGGGGGGCCCAGCGAGGGGTTAGTAAAGAGGCTCCTAAGAGACCCCCAATAAGCCCGAAGAGCCTCGCCCAGGCACTCGAGACGCTTCAAGAGGCCTCCGGGACCGCCACAAGGCCCCCACGAGGCCAAGAGGCCCCAAACGGCCTAATTACAATAGGCTACCAAGGGGCATCCGAAGAAACTATGAGAGGCATCCAAGAGGCCTCTGGCCTCTCTGTTCGCCCTCCTCCGCCTCTTCCCCATCATCCTCTTAATCCTCTTCCTCCCTCCTCCCTCCTCCCTCCTCCCTCCTCCCTCCTCCCCCTCCCCCTCCTCCCGTCCTCCTCCTCCTCCTCATCCTCCTCCTCCTCCTCCTCCTCCTCCTCCTCCTCCATCCTCCTCCTGCCCTCATCCCGAGCCGCTGCGTCGGTGGCGTTCTTGGCGGGCTCCCCGGCGTCGTCGGCCCCAGCGCTGGCGGTGCGGTCGCCGGGCGGCGGCGCAAGCGCCTGCTGCCGCACAGTGTGCGCGAGGAACGGTGCGGTGGAGGGAGGAGAGAATGAAGGGGCCCAAGGACACAAAAAGAAATATACAAATCCCATGATTCACCATATTTCTTTACGTATATGTTTTGGATTTCCGTCTCCCCCCCCACTTCCCATAACTACACATATTTTCCTGGGAATCAACGATTCATTGTGTCCATGTGTTTATATTCCCCTGAACATTGTGCGCGAGGAAAGCTGCGAGGGAGGGAAAAGAGAAGAGAACCCAAACAACCGAAACTCCGAACAAAAGCGGGCCCATCGGCTTTTGGCAATTTACGGTTTCTGTGTGCCCTCAACAAGCCCCCAAACCATCAAAACACGACTCAAAATGAACAACCGGCCCTGGTCGGGGATCCTCTGACCCGGGTCAATCCAGACCCGGGTCAGCAGGAAACCAAAAACTGCAATGCAGGAAAAAAAAACTGCAACGCAGGTCCTCGCAAACCCGGGTCAGCCAATACGCGCGGCCGCCTCGCGGCCACGAGCGGCTCCCTGACCCGGGTCAGCCAATGGGGGCCTTCGCAGGATCCTGCAGGATCCGGCGCCCTGGCTGACCCCCGTTTGCACTGACCCCCGTCTCGAGGCTCCCGACCTGGGGAGGTTGTCCAGACCGCTGGGGGTCCACGCATCGATCAAATTTGAGTGCCGGATGCCTCGGGAGGGGACTGACACACTGACCATGGGCTCCTAGAGCGGAGGGAAGTCACACTGGAGATCCAAATGCTCGCACGTCCCTCGTCGGACAGGAGCGTTAATCACAACAGCGGAAGCATCCCGCGGGCCAAAGCCCACAGGAAGGTTAAGGGAGGGAAGAGGAGGGTTCACTCTGCCCAGAAAAGGGGGGGGGCATCCGAGCAGGAGGAGGGGCGAGGGAGGGAAAGACGAGTTTCTCTACCCCTGCAGACGCACTGCACAAAGACGGCAAGCGGCGCCGACGCAGAGCGACACCACCGCAGCGCGCGCGTCGCGAGGCGCCGCGCGGCGGCCTCCCGCTAGGGGGCGTCAAGGCCACGTGCGCCGCAGCCACAGCAGGACCTGGTCGTGCACCGCAAACGTGATGCCCGTGGTGGGCGCGGTCTTCATCACCGAAGGCAACAGCCCGCGGTACAGCGCCCAGGGCCCCTCGCGCGCGACGATCAGCCGGAGGGCCTCCGCGCTGGTGGCCGCGTACGGCATGCTCTCCCCGTAGGCCGCGTGCCGCGTCACGCCCATCATCTGGATGCGCTTCTTCAGCGTGTCCAGCGGGTGTGTCACCACCCTCGTGACGATGCCGGCCAGCGTCCCGGTGGCCAGCTGGAAGTCGGGCCGCCCGCTGAGCCGCGGGCACGCCCTGCCCGCGGCCTCGTAGAAGGTCAACATGGCTCCCGTGTGCGGCACCACCAGGAGGAGCGCTGGCGCGAGGCCCTTGTAGAACCCGCGCAGCCCGCGCCGCCTCCACAAGCTCCCTGCCAAGTGACTGTAGCTGTGGAAGGCCGGGGGCACCCCCTGTCCCGCGAACAGGGTCCGCGTCAGGTCCAGGGGGTAGCAACTCGCCGTCGCCACCGCGCCTCCGACGCCGCCCGTGACGAAGGAGACGAGCAGCGGCCGGTCCGAGCACAGCCCCTGCAGCCGCGGCCGCAGCAGGCCGAAGACCGCGAACTGCACGCCGGTGTACCCTGCGCACAACAGCTCGGCAGTCAGGTTGCCCCGCCAGAGCCCGACAAGGCCCTCGCGCTGCCAGATGGCGGTCACCGCCTGGGCGACGCCCGTGTAGGTCGCCCCGCTCCCGGGGCGCACGCCCGCCGTCTGCAGCTGGAACCGGATCTTCAGGACGTCCAGCGGTGCCACGCAAAAGCGCGCCACGGCGCCCGCCACCGAGCCAGCGAGAGCCTCGCTCCATCCGCCGGGCCCGGCCGCGGGGACCATGCGGGCGCCGGCGGCCGCGGCCGCGGGGCGGCTTGCATGCGCTTGAAGATCCGGAGATGGGATGGGCGGATGGAAGACCCAAAACTGGAGCGGGTGAAAATCCGAGACTTGGGGGACTTCTTCAAATGGGGGAGTGGGCATCTCGCTTAACACTTCGCGGGCGCTCATGAACAGATGTTTGAACCTTGTCGCAAATACACAGCTGAAGGACAGCCCATCGGGCGCCGGTCTTCACATGGGGGCGCTTCTTGGAAGGCGTGCAGGGGTTGAAGAGGAGCGTGTTTGGGACGGGAGGAAGTACCGTCGGCCCGTATCGCAAGGATGCGCAATACTGGCCGTCGCTCGGACGTCCATTCCCCATGTTGTTGTTGGTTTCGTGCGTGGTTTTTGTTTGCAGGATGATCCAGGATGCTCCTTTATTATCCCCGCCGAGAAAAAGTGCACACGTCCGAACGATACCAATAATAAGGATGCAAGGGTCTTGGAAGCCCATTTCGAAGCTTCTCGAGCGGGGCGCGGCCAACGAAAGTGGCCAAGGATGGACCGAGGAGGCAAGGATGCGAGGGTACCCTTGGGAAGGTTGCCCATCATCACCATGCGGGTTGACTGTACTACAGCGTCATGGCTGCATCTTAGCTTTACTCTGGCTCTCCTCGGTCGGTCGTTCTGAGACTGCCGACTCAGAGTCAAATCTGGCCGATCCTAGCCTGGGCTATAGAAGCACAAATGGAGAGGGGGACGCGCAGCAGTCAACGAAACCCCTTTACCCAGCGACGCCGTCGACGCCTTCGATGCCGCTGGGCTGCGCCCTGAAAGGACCCGGGAGCCAACCCCAACTCTGCCTCTCCGGTGGGGAGGGGCTGTGCCTCGCGTGGGCCCCGCCGAATGCCGGCCGAACAACGCCGCGAGGGCAATGGCAATGCTAGCGACCGGGACGCACCCAGCACCCAGCCTGGCCCGCTTCCCACACTCTCCCCCTCCTCTTCGCTACAGCCTCCGAGCCACCACCGTGCACAAGGCACTGAGTTCAATCGACCTCTTGTCTCACCCTTCGCTCAATACACAGGGCCCCGCTGCGATCAGGATCGTAGATGTGAACGCCCTCTGCCCGACCAACCTCCGTATCCGCCCGTATCGCCTTGGGGACGCTCGTTGGAAGAGGGCAAAGTTACCAGATTCAGGAGTACCCCAAGAACGAGTTCCGCCGAATTCGGTAATCAAACAAGACTAAGACTGCGGATGTTCACGACCAGCTGCATCAGGACTGCCCTCCCCCTCCCCTTCCCCCTCCCCCTCCCAGCAACAAGGTGGCGTCATGGAACGTTCGAGGACTTACTGACACGAGAACTATTGAAATTATATCGCATATGGATAAGCGAGGCATCAGCATTTCAGCCCTACAGGAAGCCCGCCGCGCAAAAGCAGAAGCTTACGAGGTCGACGGGTACAAGATGATCCTTTCCGGCGAAGACACAAACGAGCGTACTTGGACAGGCGTTGGATACATCATTTCACCAACAACCCGACGAAGAGTCAAAACATATAAACAAATATAAGACAGACTGGCTTGGCTAAAGATCAGAACTGACATGGGGGCGCTGGCCATTATCACCGGATACGCGCCTCACAACCTCAAACCGCTCCATGAAAGACGCGATTTCTACACAGCGTTGGATACGACACACCGGTCTTGCAATGCCGCCGCTGGCAAGCTCATCGTTGGCGACTTCAACGCCAGAGTGGGAAAAGCTGATCCAAGAGAAGACGCTGTCTTGGGAGAATTTGGATGAGGACGGCGCGCACAGCACGAAGTTGAGCAGCCGAACCAGGATCTGATGATTGAGTTCTGCACGAGTGGTGACCTACAATTCACAAATACATTGATTTCGCTACCATTGGAAGAACAAAAATCACATTCATGGAAGCGGGAGTCCTGCCAATGGAAGACATAGCAGAAGATAACTACAACATTTTAGACATCTTAGAATGTGACGCACATTTGCGGCATAAAATCGTTGCGCTACGAAGTCACCGGGAAGCGGCCCTGGCTACAAACCATTTTTTCGTGGTGGTAGACATGGCTATACAACCTTCCATACGGAAGCCGCGGGAAACGGGACGGCCGAACAGAAGTGGCGTTCAAGACCCACGAGTACTGCACGCATATGTGGGCAACTCTATGGGAACTATTTCGTCGTTTCCTGGGCAACTGGCCGATATTCAAGACATGTGGGAAAGAGGACAAGCAGCAACGCAATCTGCAGCAAGCGCGCTCCCGAAACGCCAGAAGGAGAGCATCAAGCCATGGATTACACAACGCACTCTTGATCTCATTCGCCGCCGTACCGAGGCCCGAACGGCCAACGACATAACCGAGGAGAGAATATTGTTGAAAGCGATGCGCAATGCGTGCAAGCAAGATAAAACAGTTTGGGTTGATACGCAATTTTCGACTGGCAGCTGGGACGCTCTGAAAAAGCGTTGCCGGCCTAAGCCACGACGCCAAGGGAGGCTAAGAAATATGAGTGGGAAGTTGGTGGAAAACACACAGAGAGCAGAGACAATGGCTGAGTACCTGGAGAAAGTGCAGAGGAAAGGGCGGACAGCAGAGCTTCTAGACGTCTCACCTGGAGATTACTTGCCGGCTTCGGAAGCAGACTTTACGAAAGAGGAGGTTGGCAAAGCAATCGAGAAGCTCAAACGTGGCAAAGCTTCTGGTGTGGACGATGTCCCAGCAGAGTATTGGAAGGCTATTGCTACAGACCCAGGCGGACTGGAGTGGATCACAAACGTGTGCAACAAATTTTGGAACGAGGAGGCCGTGCTAGATTAGAAGAAATCAGTTATCTCAATGATACGTAAAAACAAAGGGGCCGTCGACAACTGCGACAATTACCGCCCAATCAACCTGCTCTGTGTCGCGTACAAGCTAATCGCGGGTCTTCTTCTTCGGCGGGTGCAAGATGCAGGGGCAGAAGAAACATTATCGCCAACGCAATTTGGTTTCCGACGAGAGCGCGGAACATCAGATGCTATACACGCTGTTCGCCGGTAGATTGATCTAGCTTACGCAGACAAGCAAGGAGGTACTGCATTTGTCGCATTGGATTGGAAGAAAGCTTTCGACTCGTTGAATGTCGAGGCGCTGCTGGAAGCTTTGCACAAATTTGGAGTCCCTCGGCGCGTCGTTACAATTATTGGCCACATCTACGAGGGCAGAACATTCAGCGCGGCGGATGGACGACACCGGTCCTCAGAACGACAGCAATTATCTGGGATATCACAAGGTTGCCCACTTTCGCCGTTCTTGTTCATTATGGTCATGACGATGGTAATTCGGAGCGCTACACACAACGGTGACGCGGAGGTACGACGAGCATGGGCAGATGGGTTCTTTGGTATACGGTTGTACGCGGATGACACCTTTTTCTTGTGGGTCGCAATCCAAATCATTTACAAAGTCTTTTGGGAGCCATTTCTAAATCAGGTGCATGACTTGGTATGGAACTGCATTGGGATAAATTTCAACTCATGCCGGTTCGTTGCGACATGTCGCTCTTGACGCCCTCTGGCGAGCAAATCCCAGCAAAAGACACAATAGTCTACCTCGGGGCCACGCTTTCAAATTCTGGCCAACTGCGCGGGGAGTTCGGAAAGAGGTTAGGAGCTGCATGGGGTAAGAAGTTCTGCAGACACAGCCGCGCCTGGAAGCATGCGGCAATCAGTATTACCAGAAAACTTCAAGTATGTCAAGCTTTGGTGACTAGTAAAGTCATGGATTCGCTGAGCTCGGCATGGCTCAACAAAGCTTAATGCAGAAGATCGAACGGCTTCCAAGCGAGGTGTCTACGTCGAATCCTGCACATCCACCACGCATACATTTCAAGAGTACATAACAAACAAGTGCTTCTGCAAGCAGGCCAACAGCGCTACACAGTGCAACTTCTGAGAAATTAACTGTTGCGGTATGGGAAAATATGTAGGGCGACAGACCTTGATTTTCTGCGCCACCTCACCTTCCAACCCAGAAGCGCGCGGCCAGCTACAGACGCATGTGCCTGAGCACGAGGCCGCCCAAAAAATGCACTGGCAAAGTGCTTGTACAAAGCTGTCGCACCGCATTTTTCTTCGGACGAGGCAGTAATGCAGTGTGTATGCGAGCCAGCAGCTTGGCGCAGAATTGTGATTGATGTTGCGCGTCTCCATCCTCCTACTCCTCCTCCCCCTCCCCCCCTCCCCCCTTGTCCTCAAGCAACGCACGGTGTGAATTAAGAGACTCCCCGCATCCTGAATGGAATCCTTGTTTTCTCTGGACACCCCGAGCAGTCCTCCTCCTCCTCCTCCTCCTCCTCTTCCTCCTCCTCACCCCTTCTGTACTCACACACCATCATCATCATCGTCATCATCGTCATCACCACCACAAGTACCACACACACATCATCACCATCATCATCACCATCGTCATCATCTCTGGCCATCCGTACATCCCCACTCATCATCATCCGTTCACTGTCTCATTCACGCACGGTCTCCTATCATTCCCTCATCACAATGCCATGTTCCCGTCGTGATCTCCGGGCGTCTGCATCATCGTCATCATCATCACCCGCGCACAGAACCATGGTCATCACCAGCATCATCCCATCAGGATCATCGACCAAAAAGGGCCTCGTCTGTGAGTGCAACGCGAGGAAATCTCGAGCGGGAGGCCCGCATTTGGCGCTGGCAATCCGAACGGGTCATCGAAAGCCTGTAATGTCGTTACCTTGGGTATTTGTTGCCTGATAATGGATGAAATGTCAGGCCGGAGTTTGTGATTGACATGTGAACAAATCTCAGACGGGAACCCCCTCCCAACGAGGTCCGCAATTCATGTTTGTAGTCCGAACGGGTCATCGGGATCCTGTAACTTTCGTCGTTGTTCGGCTCTTTTGGACTGAATATGAAGGAAGTCTCTGGCGGGAGCTTCGTCTGTGAGTGAATTGCGAAGAAGTATCAGGCGGGAGCGCCCTCCCTATGGGGTCCACACTTCATGCTGGTAATCCGAACGGGCCATCGGGATCGCGAAACTGACGTCGTTCTTCGGCTCCTCTGGATTGGTTGCGAAGGAAGTCTCAGGCGGGAGCTTCGTCTGTGAGTGAACTGCGAAGGAATATCAAGCGGGCGTTCCCTCCCAATGCGGTCCGCACTTCATGTTGGTAACACGACCGGGCCATCGGGATCGCGAAACTGTCGTTACATTTCGGTTCCACTGGACTGAATATTAAAAACGTCTCGGGCGGGAGGTTCGTGTGTGAGTGAATTGCAAAGGGATTTCATAAGGGCGCCCCCTCCCTATGGGGTCCGCACTTCATGTTGGCAATCCGAGCGGATCATCGGAAGCATGTAGTGTCGTCAGTTTCAAACTTTTTGGGGCGGAGTATGGATGACACGTCAGGCCGGAATCTGTGAATGATTGGCGAAAAAACTCAGGCGGGAGCCCGCCCGCCCCCCCTTACGAGGTCCGCCGTTCATGGTTGTAGTCCGAACGAGTCATCGGGATGCTGTAACTGTCTTCATTTTTCGGCTCCGTTGGACCGATTACGAAGGGAGTCTCAGGCGGGAGTTTCGTCGGTGGGTGAATTGCGAGGACGTCTCAGGCGGGAGCGCTTTCCGTATGCGGTCCGTACTTCACGTTGGTAATCCAAGCGGGTCATCGGGATCTCGTAACACTCACTTTTCGGCCCCTGGACACGCAGGAAGCCCCAGGCGGGAGCTTCGTCTGTGAGCGACTTGCGAAAAAGTCCCAAGCGGGGGCCATCTCACATGGTATCCGCACTTCATGTTGGTAATCCGAACCTTCCATCGGGATCGCGAAACTGTCGTTGTTTGTCGACTCCTCTGGACTGAATATGAAGGATGTCTCAGGCGGGAGCTTCGTCTGTGATTGAATTGCGAAGGAATATCAGGCGGGGGCCCCCCATCCCAGTGGGGTCCGCATTTCATGTTGGTAATCCGAATGGGCCATCGGGATCGCGAAACTGTCGTTACGTTTCGGCTCCTGTGGACTGGACATGAAGGACTTCTCGGGCGGGAGCGTCGTCTGTGAGTGACTTGCGAGGGAATATCGAACGGGTGCGCCCTCCCTATGGGATCCGCGCTTCATGTTGGTAATCTGAGCGGGGCATCGGAATCTTGTAACAGTCTACTTCTCGACCACCGGACACGAAGGAAGTCTCAGGCCAGAGCTTCGTCTGTGAGTGACTTGCGAAGAAGTCCCAGACGGGGGCCCCCTCAGTCGTCAGTTTTTGGTTCTTCTGGACTGAATATGGACTCCCCGGCTGAAGCGGAACAGCTCGCGGCAGAGATGAACTTCGTGCTGCCTCCCGCCTGAGCGAAAGCGCGAATGACTCGGAGCCCACGGGGTTTGTCCCAACTGTTTGCTCTCGCACACAAACGGCTCGCGGGGTTTGTCCCAACGGCCGTTGCCCCGACGGCTTGGCGATGTTGCCATCGGAGAACGCGCCCCTGCCGGGCGCGTCGGCGAGGGCGCCGAGGAAAATTGGCATGCGCCCCCATGCCAGGAGGAAGGAGAGGTGCATGAGGACAACAGGTGGGATGGAGATGGGGGGGGGAGAAGGAGGAGGCGGAGGAGGAGGGGAAGGACGAAGAAGAAGAGGAGATATTGAACAAGGCGGGCGAGCAGGAGGAGGAGACGGAGGACGAGGAAGACAAGGAGGATGAGGAGGAGGCGCAACAAATGGCGAGACGGGAGTTTCGGCCAGGACGAAAAGAACTGGTGGCAATTTTCCCCAATCAATGCTTGCACTGAAGGGGTCCTCGCGGAAAATGAAGGATTTGGCGAAAATTTCCCGCAAATTGTGGTCGCACGCTGGGTTCCCGGGTTCCCGATTCCGGGTTCCTGGGTTCCCGGTTCCAAGTTCCGGGCCGATTCCGGAGGGCGGCGAGATTCCCGGGTTCCTGGTCAATCTTCTTATCAATCGGTCTCACCATCGATCTCATTACCCGCTTCTCTATCGATCTCACCATCGTTCTCACAATCGATGTCACTATCAATCCCACAAGCGATCTCACGAGAGATCGCATGAGCGATCTCGCGATCGATCTCACTATCGATTTCACTGAATCGGTTTTACTCTCGGTCTCAGGATCTATCTTATAGTCGTCCTCGCAATCGATTACACTATCGATCTCACTATCGATCTCACAATCGATCTCAAGATCCTTACTATTCATTATCAAAGCGTCCACTGATTGGGTTGTTTTCTCATGTGTAATAAACTTAGTATCCTCTCATGTGGGGTCCTACCGTCGGATTGATGACGTTTGTTTTCTTCTTCGATCCACTTCTGGAGGGCGACGACGACGCGGGTGAGGCAAGGAGGCGAGCAAGACAGGCGACAGAGGAGCTCCTTGGCCGCCGCCGTTGGAGCAGCGCCAGAGAGCAGTTCCTGAGGCGACCCGGGGGGGCACCGTGGCCTCCTCGCGTTCTGCAGCCTGCTTCTCACATCCTCCTCACCCTCCTCCCTCCTCTTATCTCCTTTTGCTTCCTCCTCCTCCTTAGCCAATTTCAGAATCTGGTGATTGACAAACGGGCCCACCTCACACACTCTCAGAGAATGTACATCCCACCGCAATTCTGATGGGAGCGAGAGGGCTGTGCACCGCCAGGTTCTTGCGGTACTTCGCCTACGCGGCCATGCACAGCACCTTCATCGGCTACAATCCTTGTTCGCTGATTCAGACACGACGATTGGCAGAGATATCCACTTCCATGCGGAAAGCGTCTCTTATTGCGTTGACGGGGACACGGATGCGTGCGACCTCCACTTCGTCGGTATGGTCCCAGACACAGGGCACGCATCATTTCATACAGTTTGGCTGGAGCAGAGGCCCTTTCACCAATCGCAGTGCAGGAGTTGCTACTGGCATCCACAAGCGACATGTTCTCCCTGGCAAGAGATTCCAGGCATCAGCACCGCCTGCGACTGCTGCAGGACGAGGTGGAATGGTTCGTATTCGAAATGCTGGAGTGGATGTTGCGATGTTTGCTATCTATTTCCCCCCCCCCCCCTCGCTGTCGGCAGGGCGTATGGTGCGTAGAAGAAGACAGTTGACACATTACTGGTTTGGCTGAATGATGAACTTACTGCACTGGATCTCAACGATTCCTTAAGTGCTGATGACACGGCTGAGTATACTGCCATGTGACCTTTTACACATCATAGAATGGGATATGCGGGCCGTGCATTTCGGGAAGTTCTCCAGCGACATCATATGTGCTGCCCTGACACTTTTGTACGAACGGCGCCGTCTTAGTATGGACTCAAGAACGCTATGTCTTGGATTGACCACTTTGCTATCCCTATGGGGTTGCGCCAGCGAATGACGAAGTGCGTAACCATGACACGTTTGGCACGGCAACTTCAACTATGCCCTGGCAGTGGCTATCTCATCGATCATGCGCCGATGCTCTTGCAAGTGGAACTGTCGTTGCCATCGGTGTCGCCACGGCGGTCGGTCAGCTGGAATAAAGATCTTCTAGCCCTCGCCGCGCAGACCCCAGGGTTTCGAGGAGATTGTTCTGGCCGAAGCTGTACATCATCTACGCCCTGCTGAGGCTTCTATCCTTGGTTACCTGGAGGCGCCGATGATCGAGAATGGATACCGTGAAATGTGTAAAGTCCTGTTCCCTATCGCTGAGAAATACCGTGCTAGATCGCAGGTGTCGCCAGGTGAACCCACGACGCAACTACGACGCGACGTACGACAACTTATCAATTTACGCGGTCGCCTCCGCCAGCAGAGCCTCCCACGCCAGCACCACGATAGTCAAATTCGTGACCTCTCTGCACGACTCAAAGGACGAGTACGAAAATGGCGACGACAATTACGTTCTTCCTGGACTGAGGAGTTGGCCGAAGCTTGGAAGGGGCGCCAACTGGCTACCGTGCAATACCTATCCAGACGCTTAGCGGGCACTGGTCTTGGCTCCGAGCGGCGCACTTATAATGCTGTGAAAAAAATGGCACCGTGCGTGCAGGACCTCAAGGGCACTCTTTCTCTCCCGGGGGCGCGCGGTGGTTTAGGTGCCGTTGCGATCGATCCGACTGAGCTGGAGACTCGGCGCGATTTTATGCCACACATGGGACCCACATATCGGGACACTTCTCAGGCTAAAAGTGTTCGAGATCTCGATCGTGCCATTGCTGTGCTAAAAAAAGCGCCCCGCCGCCGAGCTGTACCACGCTGGAGTTTACCTAGTGAGATTGAGTTCATGTTGTTGGCACCCCATTACTTCAGCAAAACAATCTCTACCGCTGGTCTGGGTGCCACGCCTACTGCCCCCGACACGACGACCATCCTTTCCGTGTTTTCTGCATTAGCTACTGCCTGCAGACTTACTGGACGGTTTCCTGCTTGTGCTGGCTATTCTAATGTATGGCAAACCCCCAAGCCTGACGGGGAAACCCGATACCTCCATGGACTGTGCCCGCTGTTTCGTGCTATTTGCCGTGGCATCTATAAGAATGTCCCGTTTTCGCTCCCGTCACCTACCGATCAAGGTTGTGTACCACATCGCCGACGTGAAAATGCGATCTTGGCCATGCATGTTACTGCTTGGCGCCTCCGACGAGAGCGCAAGCATCATATTGCAGGGTTACACGACATGACTAACGCCTACGGCTGCTGCTCGCATGAGCGATTAGATGAAGTGCTTCATGAACACTTACCTCACGCTGACGCTGACGTATTGCAAGATCGTCGACGCACGCATGTACTCCATATCGAGGCCATTAACGGCGAAATACAGTTACTACTAACTACAGGAGCGCTGATGGCTGAAACTTCAGCGCCTGATGAATCCCGCATGGATTTTCAGAAGCCGATCAACATTTGGCGACATCGGTCTCCGCAGCCTCAACTGATGGTCAAGTGCCCGCTGGTGCCTGACCCAGTGGATGCATCTTTGTCGAAGTATGTCGACGATCTGCATAATTTTATGTTGTTGCATTCGGGACGCTTACAAGAAGCCATCGGAGCTGTGGCTGCTGAACAAATGCTGACGGATGAGATTATGCCATCGTTCGGCTACAAGCTAAACCTCAAGAAGCAAGTTTTAGTTCCCTGGCTGAAAGAGTATCATGGTAATCGATTGTTTTACTCCTCCCCTGTTGGAGGCGCTCGCGTTCTTCCTCATGCTCGCTACCTTGGCCCGCTGTTCATGCCTGCTGGTACGCTTGGACCGCAGATCATGATTGCCAAAAATGCTGCGGCCAGGGGCTGGTGCGCGTGCAAGGACTTCTGGGGAAGTGGGGCTTCTTGGAAAGTTAGACGCTTGATGTTCGTCAATGTCGTCCAGGGGGCCCTCCTCTCGGGACTGGTTCCGTTTATGTTGTCCACTGCTCAGCAACGTGAACTTGATTCCTGTCTGCTTCGAAAGATTCGGTCGATTGCTCGGGGCGCCGCCTGTGATTGGATGGGCCCTCACCCTGTATCCTGGAGCTCGACGACTGTGGTTATGGTTTGGTCTCATCCCGACGCGACGCGAATTATTGATACAGCGACTTCGATGGTATCAAGCGATGCTCCGATTCCCCGAGGACCACACCCAGGTGATCGCGATTATCTTTGGTCGATTTGGGTTTGAAACGTACAACACGATGAACGACGGCCTTCTCACGAACGACGCGAACCCCTTTGCCCAACGATTTGTATGTGAGATTGCATGCCTCTCGATACTTACTGACATGGAGGACTGGATGGAAATCTGGGGAAGGTCTCTTGCTAGGCTCTTTGAGGATGAGTACGTCAAACATAGGTTTCTTAACGCAGATGGTCGTGCCTTTCGGAAACTCTACCAACTTGGGGCCATGGGACCTGACATTGACCCAGGGGAGTTCCCTGACGAGGAGGAGGAGGGCTGGGGCACGGCTGAGCTGCGGTATAAATGCACCTGCTTGAACGAAGATGGCACGTACTGTGGCGCTGCATTCAGGTCTCGTAAGGCACTCACTATGCACAACACCTTCACTAAGGGCGGCACACACGGCACTAAGTGTGTCAGCACTAACCAATGTCCGTGTTGCATGCAAACGTTTGCGTTTCGGAGGTCTGCCAAGTCTCATGTGCAGGCTGCCTTCCGCACGGGTACGTGTGGTGTTAGTACTGCCCATGCTGTAAATCCTGTTGTGAGTGTGCCACTGAAATGCCCTGTATGTAGTGATACGTCGTATCAGAATTTGGCTCAGCTCCGGCTGCGCATTCGAGATTGTCATTTACCCCCTGCACCGCGACCTCGTGAAGGCGTGGATGGAACCCGCCTGGGCACTCAAGATGAAAGATGGAGGCGTCGCATCCGAGGCCCCCCCTCAGCAGAAAGCAAAAGGCGCTCCTCCTACACAAGGCTCGGCAGCAGGCTCGGGCAGTCAAGGCACCGCTGGACCACCCCCCCTGGAGGGGGAAGCAAACTGCAAAAAGCCGCGCAAGGATCGGAACAAAGGGCTCGGGCCGCTAGCCGACACGGGTTTCAACAAGAAACAACGGAACATGATTGCCGTCCTCATCAAACAAATTCTCATGCCATACCAGATGATGCGGGACCTCTGGGCCCTCGGGATCGACACGTGGTTCCTCGACTCGACGCTCCCCGAGATCGAAGCCGCCCGCATCGAAGGCCAGAACTACAGCCAGAACGTACGCGACGCGGGTCGGGGCCACCAGCTGGGTCCTCATCACCTGCATATCTTTCGTGGGTTCGTCAGCAAGCTATTAGAGCGTACGAACAGTCTGGGGGTCAGAACCTACGAGGAGCTTCTGCTTTGGTACAAGGAATGGTTCTGCAAAGCGTCGCTGGAGGAGGCCTGGGACCAGGTTCGACTCGTTCGCATAACCAAGTGCTACGACCAGACCAAGAAGAAGGTGCACCTCAGCCTCCAGAACGTGGATCAGACGGAGCAGATGCCGATTCTTCAGGAAGGCTCCGACGCGCGCTCAGTGCCTTCGGGCACGCGTTTGCGCCACCTGTTCGCCAGGGCCCTGCAAGAGGTGGGAGGGCGTCGCGCGGCCGGGGCCGCTCCGCCAGGGGCCATGAAAGACATGCTTCAACATAGTCTACCTGAGTGATGACGTTTGCTGGACATCCCGTCGGTATGCACTGCTCACCTCCTGCGCTGTCGTTCCCCCAGTATGCACTGCTCACCTCCTACGCTGGCTTTGGCCAGACTTGGGGGCAGAAGGTACCAGCTGGGGGACTTTCACACAGACTAAGGAGGCAGAGAGTACCAGCCGACGGGGCCATCTACGAATGTCGATGGTAGCTCTCGTACTTCATATCGACCTTGAGCTGAACACGTACGACTTGGCTCTTTACTTATTTGGTTTGGTCACGTCAGAGTGCACTGGTTATCACACACTACCTTTATTGGGGTGGTTTGTGCTGCTTGTCTGATTTGAGATATGCTACTACATGGACCACGTCCTATGACATCGCCTACTCTCTCAACATACCGTTGGTTGGTTGGGCGCAAGGTTAACTGTGGCCCCTCTCCGATGTGCTGATGGCGTACTCCCCGCCCTACGGCTTCCTTTTCGTGATTTCCGTGTTCGTGCCCCTGGACCCGTTCCACGCTTGAGGTGCTGCCACCGCTGCTGCATCGCCGCCGTGCCGCCTGTGTATCATACAATAAGTTGGTATTTTCGTCCGTGTAGCGCGTTGCACCCATACTTGTCGGTGCGACGGTTCCCCAGGGTGTGTGTTAAGCCTGTTGGGGCCTGTCTAGGCCCTCTCGCTTGCTCCTGGTTTAAACCCAGCTTCGGCTGGCAGCCGTGTAAGAATGTTACTGTTATCCGTCCATATGCACTCTGAGAGTGCTTACGTTTTAGTTTTTGTCGAGGGCCTGTTCAGGACTGCCCCGCCTCGGACTTGTGGGAAATCAGAGACACGGCGCGCCTCTATGCCGCATTATTATTAGATTACCTCCTCCTCCTTCTTTACCTCCGCCTCCTCCTGCATCCTCCTCCTCCTCATCCAACTCCTCCTCCTCCTCCTCCTCCTCCTCCTCCTCCTCGACCTCCTCCTCCTCCTCCTCCTCCTCCTCTCCTTTTCCTCGCTCCTCCTCTATCCTCCTCTCTCCTCTTTCCTCCTCATCGACCTCCTCCGTCTCCTGCCTCCTCCTCCTCCTCCTCCTCCTCGTCGTCGTCCTCCTCCTCCTCATCATCATCATCATCATCCTCATGCGCCTCCCTCCTCCTCCTCCTCCTCCTCCTCCTCATCGTCATGCTCCTCCTCCTCCTGCTCCTCCTGCCTCCACCTGTCTTCTCGCTCCTCCTCCTCCTCCTCCTTCTCGTGCCTCCTCCTCCTCCTCCTCCTCCTCCTCCTCTCTCCGCCTTCCTCTCATCCTCCTCCTCCTTGAAGGGGCACGCACTGATGTGGTGTTGCGGGGCCATGTTACATTCGGGGCTTCGGCTCCGAGTGTGGGGTTGTTACGCTTGACCACGGGTGCGTGCCCCAACTTGTTTTCTGGGTTACCCACTGGAAGGGCCTCCTTCGTCTTCTAGTTCTCCACCTTCCTCCTCCCTACCCAAACCATGGTGGGCAACCCTGTGCTGTCCCCAAAGTCGTCGAGGCCAACCTGAGGCCGTAACTGCCTGTGGCGAGGGGGTGGTGCGAAGGCAGGACGGTGGGCTGGCGCTGACGCCAGGACGGGCAGCAGGCGGGCCACAGTGGAGCCGGCAACACACTCCGAGGATGCTGCTCCTCCACTGGCCATCGCTCGGACGTCCATTCCCCGTGCATGTTTCGGCTTCGTGCGTATTTTCTCGCAAGATGATCCAGCATGCTTCTCGCCGTGGAACAATTCACATGTCCGAGCGATGCCAAGTGAATCGGCACACGCTGAGATGGATTAGGATCGGGCTGGGCGAAAGGGGGGAATAGCGAAGGGGGGGGTGAGAATCGGCTCACGTAGCTGGTTTTCCCGGCGCCTCCTGGCGCCGGGAGGCGCCCATGTATCGAGGAATGGGCCCATCGGCGGGGCCGAAACCAGCTGCATGCAGCAGATTTCGTACCCCCCCTTTCCCTACCCCCCCCTTTCCTTCGGCCCGATAGGAATCTGTGGATCTGGCGCGTGGAACGTAGCCCCCGAAAACGCGAGGCCCGTGCCGCCCAATCTGGTGACGCGCCGCGCCGACGCTGCGTGGAAGCGAGCGCCAGTCGCTATTCCACGCGCCTTACGCCACGCTTGCATGCATTTGTTTTGACTCCTCCTCCAGCGCTCCTGCTCCTCCCCTCCTTCCGAGGAGGGCAAAGAGGAGAACAAGATAAGAAGGAGGAAGAGGAGGAGGAGGAGGAGGAGGAGAAGCGAGGGAGGAGGAGAACAAGGCGAGGGAGGAGGAGGAGGAGAAGGAGCCAGGGAGGAGGGCGACAAGGAGAACAAGGCGAGAGGAGGAGGAAGTGGGCGAAGAGGAGAACAAGGCGAGAAAAGGAGGAGTAGGAGGAGTAGGAGTAGGAGTAGGAGTAGGAACAGGAGTAGGAGAAGGAAACGGGGGAGGAGGAGGAGGAGGAGGAGGAGGAGGAGGAGGAGGAGGAGGAGGAGGAGGAGGAGGAGGGAGGAGGAGGAGGAGGAGGAGGAGGAGGAGGAGGAGGAGGAGGAGGGGGAGGAGAGGCCCCACTGAGCGATTTCTGGTGCCGCGCCCACGCTCTGAAGGATGCCGCTCGCAACTTCCCTGCACAGATCAGTACGCTTTTCTGTTTAGCACCGTGCCCGTTGCGTCCCCTTGTCGCCCACGCGCATCGAAGATGTCGGCGACTGGAGCTTCTGTCGCACTACGCCTGCGTCCGCCTTCGGGCACAGTGCGGCGGCCACCACTACGGTCTCTTCCTCCTCCTTCACCTCCTCATACTTCTCCTCCTCCTCCTTCTCCTCCTCCTCCTCCTCCTCCTCATCATCATCATCATCATCATCATCATCATCATCATCAGCATCATCATCATCAGCATCATCATCATCATCATCATCATCATCTTAAACATCATCATCATCATCATCATCATCATCATCATCATCATCATCATCATCATCATCAGCATCAGCATCACCATCATCACCTTCACAACCACCAACACCATCACCACCGTCGCCACCACCATCACCACCACCGGCCTTCACCATCACCATCACCATCATCACAAAATCGGAAACTATGATCACCGTCATAATCATCAGCAGCACCATCACCATCACCATGATCATCAGAATCATCATCATCAACAACATCATAATCATCATGGTCATCAGCATCAGCATCAACAGCATCGACAACAGCATCAACATCAGCATCAGCCTCATCACCAGTCTTGTCAGCATCATCATCATCATCATCATCATCATCATCATCATCATCATCAGTATCATCATGAGTACCATCATCGTCATCGTCATCATCAGCATGACCACCAACACCATCACCATCACAATCACCATGACCCTCGTCCCTCATCTCCCCATCCTCATCCTCCTCCCTCAAATCTACCCTCTGTCGCTGTCGCAGGTTGGCGTAGCGGGACTGTCTCCTCTCCTATCTTTCCCTCCTCCTGCCATTCCTCCCCACCGTTCTTCATTGTTCCTTAGATCCAGTGTGGAGCCTTGCTCTCTCCATGGCCTGTTCCGTTGCGGCGACGGGGGAAGGTGCGGTGATCCCTCTGTCCCCATACTTCCTCCTCCTCGTCCCCCTCCTCCTCCTCCTCCTCCTCCTCCTCCTCCTCCTCCTCCTCCTCCTCATTTATGCCTTCAGCGGTAATGCAGGCGGTCCTGCACGCTTACCCCACCTACGAGACAAACGTTTACGAACACACACTGGCGGTAATGTCAAAGGTCTTGTCCTCAGACTTCCCCCGCTCACCTGTCTTCGCCGTATAACCGCTGTTATCTACGTCTATTCCTTCGTCTCCGTGTCTGCCTCGGTTCTGAACCTCGTCTTGTCCGCGTGGCCGTTAGACCTCGGGAACGGGGCTGCTCTGGACTCGGACGGGGTCATAACTGGGTACGTCCACGATCCTAGGTCCCCATCCAGGGATCCAGGAAACGACCGTTTAGGTTGACACAAAGCTCCTCAAGACCGATCGGCCGGTGTCACCCTTGGGAAACGACCACCTCTACCTCCGTAATCTCCCGCACACGCTCCGCCGGCATCCCATGATGACCGAAAAGCGGGAAACGTTTTCGGGTCACTTGAAGACCGAACTATGTTGCACCCCCCGTGGGGCGGACAGACCGTGCCCCCCCCCTGGGAACGCACATTGGTGCTTGATTCTGGTTTGGTGCATTTTGCCGGCACCCGTGTTGGCACAACATGGGGCTCGCATTTGCACACATTGCTGTCACACATCATGCTTGGGCCCATATTGCGGGTCCCCAGAATATACACCACCCCCACGTCGTTTCCTCAATCTTCCTCCACCCTCATCTTCCTCTCCTCCTTCCTGGGGGAGGGAGGTACGGTCAACCAGAGGCATTTCCCAGCCACCCCCCCCCCGCCCCTTGGGGGCTTGAACGGCCATCCTCCCTCCTCCTCCTCCTCCCCCTCTTCCTCCTCCTCCTGGGCATTCCTGGGGGGACATTCCTGGGGGGGTCCTGGGCCGTCTTGTGGAAGCCTCGGTGGGCCCGTCCGTGCGGGGGGCGGGAGTGGTGGGGGGGGGAGGGTGGCTGGGAAATGTCCTTGGTTGCCGCGACGGGGGAGGGAGGGGATGAAGGAGGTGGTGGTGGTGGTGTATATCTTTGTTTGGACGCCCGAAATGGGTACGGAAAAATAGGTACAATGCCCCACAACAAATGTTGTCCCAAACCAACAGCGGCCGCTTTTGGGCAGGCGGCCTCCTGTCTCAAATGGACACAGGCCGCGGCGGCGTGGACAGCGAATCCTGTGCAGAATGAACAAGAACTGCTGTTGGGCATTGTACCCTTTCTTTCCGTACCCATGTCGGGCGTCCAGACTTTGGGCCCCGCAATCGCTCGTCGTCCTTTCGTGATGGGACAACTGGCCCACACGCGTGGGCCCCCCCGTCACGGTGCCACGAGGCGCGGAGGCAGCTGCCACAGGCTGTGCGCTACACGCATGCCACCCACCACTACCAGGTGGCAACATCGAGCACCCATCTCAAGCGTGGAAGAGCCCAAGTGCCCCATCCGATTCCAAAAAGGTGATGCCTATCCTCGAGGGCGTCAGCACTACACCGCTACCCTCCTCATGCCTCTTCCCTCTCTGCCAACCCTCATCATCATGCTGCTCATGCCCCACGGTGCCTCCGCGGAGAAGCCGATGCGACTCGCCAGCCACTCGTACGCCGCGATCGGGGACAGACCGAAGCCGAAACCCATGCCGCCGCGTGCGTCGTCGCACACCTTCAGCGAATGACAAAGCGGAGGAGGATGGCGAGGAATATGCAAAAGAAGGAAGGGGGGATGAGGAGAGAGACGGCTGACTGTCTGACTGACGCGCCCAGACCCAATGAGAACATCGAACACTGCGGTCACAATCGCTGCAAAAGCCCGCGTCGTTCGTCCGAGAAGGAGGCTCAATCGCAAACGCTCTTCCGCAGCCAAAATCAGACCAGAGGATCTGGAGGGGCACGAGGAGAAACTATGATGAGGAAAGAGGAGTGGGAGAGGAAGACGTGGAGGAAGAAGACGAATAGGGCGGGAAGGAAGAGTAGCAGCACGAATACTTAGGAATGAAGCAGGACAGAGGAGGGGAGAATTTGTTTGGGAAGCCCCGTTCTCCATCAGCTCAGCTACTTCAGCAGTGACTATCCGATGTGCAAGCCTCCATGCGCGAGCAGGTACGTGCAAAGCAGACGCGGGTGTCAGAGCAGTCGCAGCACGCATGGGAAGGACGCACCTGGAGGTGCGGTCAGGTTGTCATGTGTTGTTTTGAGATTTGGGGAAAGGGGGCTCTGGATGAAAACTGGTGTAGTCGTAGCCAGTGCTCAGTGCGCCCGACCCCTTTGTAGTGTGCAACGCCATGGTTGTCATGAGCAGGGAGTCAGCACTTAACGCGCAGTGAATGGCGAATGGCGGGTCCGTGTAGGAAACACTTGGGCAGCAGGCAAATCGTCGGGCGCAGGAGCGGCGGGTAACGCGTGGCGTGGTGGATACGTGTGCAGCGGGCAGCTCAAAAATCGTGAGCGGCTGGTGGCCAATGGCTAACGCGTAACACCCCGCGTCAACCATCCATTGTTGTCGTCGGCGGATGGGCAGATGGACTGCTCCAGCGATGTGGCACTAGTGGGACACACGAAACGCGAATGAAGCCGCAGGGCGCGGGAGCAGAAAGGAGGGCCGGCGCGGGCGGGAGGGAGACGAAACCCGACCCGCTCAGAGCAGGGCCAGGCCGCGGCGGGCCAGGCCGCGTCCACCAGCCAATGACCGTCGGTCGGAAGAAGTAGGCAGACACACATGACGCAAGAAGGCGTCGGAAGCAGGTGGGATCTCCGCCCGCACCCCCTGACGAGGAGAAAAAAGTAAAGAACCCGATCCCTGAAGCAAGAGGGCGCGAATCCATAACTAAAGTTACCTACTCTCAGCTAGGCGGCGCGCCCCGGGGGGGAAGTGTGAGAGAGAGAGAGAGAGAGAACAACGCCGATGCGGCGAGATCCCCCGTCGCCGCCATGGCGGCCAGGGGGCGGGAGCCCTCAGAAGAGCTCGAAGACGACGAGGCCAAGCGGGAGGGGGACGCTGTCGTCGACGGCATTGAGGGGGAGGACGGCCGTGCTCGGGCACGGCACTATCGCCCTCCCCCAGCCCTCCGAAAGCCGCGCGCGCACCAGCAGCAGCTTCGTGCTCAACGTTGTCGAAGGGCTCGAAGTTGACCGCACCACGGCCACGGAGCCGAACTCGGACGAACGTCGTACTGCTGCCGATGACGCTGCCCGCACGCCCAGCGTACTTGCCCGTCATGACGCGGACGAACTCGCCCTCCTTCCAGGCTCGAGAGACCGCCACCGCCGCAGGCCGCGCCGCCTCCTCGAACACCACATCCATGAGCTCCGCGCCAGCTGGGGTCGTGCCGCTACCCGCAGGAGCAGCAGACGCCATCGCACCAGCATCGCCACGGCCCTGGCACACTGGAAGATCGCCAGCAAAGGCATCGTCGAGCTCATCAGCACTGGGAGCGCCAGATACAGCAGGAGGGAGAACAGCATCTGCACCAGGATGGTCGGCAACAGGCGCAAGCCGGGAGCGGCGGCGCCGCCCCGCCGACCTGGGACCGCCACCAGCTGCCTGCGCTACCATCGGCAACTGCTTGCCAGCTCCTCCCGCCTCCGCACTCTTCTGACTACCTACCAGACCACCCCAACCCAACCCGAAGACCCGAATTTCGGGTTGGGGGGGGGTACGGCTTCCATGTGTGTTTTCTCGGTGTTCCCCGACCCCCCCCCACTAGAATTCGAGGGTAAATCTGAGCCTTCAGGTTGGGTTGGGGTGGTTTGGTGGGTGGTGAGGTCCCGCTGCCCCTGCGGCACGGCCACCACGTCCGCGCCGCCGCCGCCGCTGGGCGGCCGCGGCGCCAGCCGCGGGGCGGCCGCGGCTCGCGGCCACCGGCAGCGCGCAGGAGGCCCTCGGCCGCGCGCGGGAGGCGCACCCCCCTCGGGGGCGCTCCCCGCGGCCAGGCCCGAGGCCGCATGGGCTGCGAGGAGCGCGCCTCTAGGGGGCAAACACACCTACCTCGCTTTTGACCACCCTCGCTTCCAAGAGATACCAAGCGAGGCCAAACTACGGCCTGTACTGGTCAGGCCGCTCGACGAGGAGGCGCGTGGTACGACTTGGTTTTGCCTGGAAGCGAAAGCGGGGTAGGTAATTCACGCTCTGAGCCTCGCGCGGCTTCCTCGGCGCCCTTGCGGCTGGCCTCCAGGTTGAGCGCACCGGGCATCGGCTTCCTGGCAAGCGCGCCTCCGCGGGGGGCGCGCCCGAGCGGCACGAAGAGTAAGCCAAAAGGTTCTGGGGGGGAAGTGAGAAAAAGCACGCCTTCTCAGGAGGCTCGCAAGTTTCCCGGGCTTCAGAGAAGTGTTCTAAGCCCTCTCCGAAGACGAGGGCTTCTGAGAATAGAGGAACAAGCAATGACATAAACATAAAAACTCGGAGGTCCGCACGGAGCTCCGAGTTGTTCTGCTAATACCATTGTTCGTTCCCCTAACAAACAACTCTCAGAAAGCACGAGGGCTTCTGCGAAGCCCCGCCGCTTTCTGAGAAGGGCTTCTCCTTCTCTTTCCCCCCCCCCTCGCTCGCCGCCGATCAACGACGGGCGTGCGCCCCCCTCCTCGTACCCTCGAGAATGATTCGCTGCCCCCGTCGCGTGCCTTGTGTTAGGTCGGGCATGTGCTCGGGTTTTGAACGGAACAAGGAGAAATAGTCAAACACAGATCAAAAAAAACAAAATAGTCAAAAGATCGTCCACCTACTATTTTTTGACTGTTTTTCAATATTCCCTTTGTAGAGGGACGTGCCCGACTTACGCCTTGTGGCCCTCCCTGGTGGCCGAAAGCTCACCTTCTGCTCGCTGCCCGAGTCGCCGCCCGCTACAGCTGCGCCCCCGGCCGACGGCGCCCGAGAACACTTGCGTCGGCGGCGAGGCAAACGAAGGCTGCGCTAGCGGAGAAGCCTAAACCGGGATGCCGGTGTAGCGAATTGTGCCACAATGCAATAGGAGGAGGAGGAGGAGGAGGAGGAGGAGGAGGAGGGCGTGGTCGAAAGAGGGGGCGGAAGAAGCGAGCCGCTCACGGCGACGGGCACCCGAAAACATAGACAGCCTGCGGCATGGCTTCTGTGCGGAGCTGCCCAGCAGAAAGGGCGCGCGGCTCGGAGACCGGGCTCTGGGCACGACGGGGCCGTTTTTGTACCGGGTCCTTTCTGGCCATCGCTCGGACGTCCATTCCCTGTTTTTTTTTTCGGTTTCGTGCGTGGCTTGTTCGCCAAATGATCAAGGATGCTCCTCGATGATCCTCGCCGAAGGAAAGCTGCACACGTCCGAGCGATGCCAAGCTTTTGCATCTCTTGTTGCCGACTCCGGCACCAATTTGTTGCCGGTTCCATCGCCTTGTTTTCCGGTTCCAGGTCCAATTCCAATCCCGGAGCTGTTTGTGTTGCCATTTCCCGTCGCCGCTTCTTTGCCGTGTCCATTTTAAAAGGATGCTTTTTCGAAAATTGTGGAACAAACGGTCCTGCCGTTTCCGGGGCCCACTAAGGCCGGCCACACCAGGTCCAGTCGGACCTAGGCCAGAAGAACAACCCTCCAAAACATGAGACCCAACGTCGGCCCAAACAAACAGAACGTCCAAGGGTACGCCCCCCAGGATGCACAAGAGCACCCAACACACACGAAGAACATCAAGGCCCCCTCCCCGAACCGACCTCGACCTTGTACCTCGATCCGACTGTACAGAGATATGTAGCACCACGCAGTTGCGGATGAGAGTGAGGGAGCGGGCTCGATGTGGGTCGCGGGTGGGTCGCAAGGGCGTGTCGCGGGTGGGTCGCAAGATGGATCGGGGGTGGGTTGCGGGTGGGTCACGGGTGGGTCGCGGGCCCAGTCGCGTGAGGGACGACGACGATGACGAGGACACAAGACAACAAACAACACACGCACACAAAAAACAAAACGAATCAAACAAACACACTAACAAGCAAAAACACAACAACACCAATAACAACATCGCCAACAACAACAATCACACCAACAACAACACCAGCAACAAACATCACCAACAACAGAAACAACAACAATAAACAACACCAGCAGCAGTAACAAGAACAGCAACAACAACAACAACCATTTTAAGGCTGTACGCTCTTACTTGCCCGCGAGTCATTCAAAACGTATACCCTACACCCTCGATACCCGCCCTCTTCGTCTTCGATCACACCCCTTTCGGGGGGATTAATTCTCTTTGCTGGGGCCGGCGGGCTTAGACGTACGGGCAAACCGGAACGGGCGGACAATCCTTCGGGGGCGTACATCTCTCTGCCCGCCATTGGAATTGGCGCGGGCCCTGCAAGAGGAGGAGGGGAAGAACGAGGGAGAGTGGGAGGAAGGGGAGGGGGAAGGACGAAGGAAGAGGGAAGATACCACGTTGTGAAGGCGTCCTTGGCGCGTGCGTGGTTCCTGAGCGCCGAAACGCAATTCCAGAATAATTTGTGAGGACGTCGCACGCGAGAGCGCAGTCCTGAGTACATTGTGAGGAAATCTCAGGCGGAAGCGGGGGCCCTGACTAAGTTGCGAGGAAGTCTCAAGCGGGAGCGCCGTTCCTGAGCAAATTGCACGGAAGTCTCAGGCGGGAGCGGGGGTCCTCACTAAATTGCGAGGAAGTCTCAGGCGGGAGCGCCGTTCCTGAGTCAATTGCGTGGAAATGTCAGGCAGGAGCGGGGGTCCTGAGTAAAATTCAAAGAAGTCTCAGGCGGGAGCGCCGTTCCCACGTAAATTGCACGGAAGTCTCAGGCGGGAGCGGGGGTCTTGATTACATTGCGAGGAAGTCTCAGACGGGAGCGCCTTTCCTGAGTAAATTGCGTGGAAGTCTCAGGCGGGAGCGGGGGTCCTGAGTAAAAATCGAGGAAGTCTCAGGCGGGAGCCGTTGTTGTTGTAGCCCGGGGGGCAGGGGCACAGTTTGAGCAGGAAGACTTTCCTTGAGAAAAAAACAAGGTGCGAGCCCCGGGGGTGGCACTTCAATCGAAAAAAATCAATGTGCACCGGTGGGGGGGATCAACAATAATTATTCTTTAAGAATGAGAGTTCAACAACAACAACAACAACAACAACAACAACAACAACAACAACAACAGGCACAACAACAACAACAACGACAACAAACACAATCATTTAAATACTGTTCGCTATTAGCTGCTCACGTGCCATTAAACACGTCGATCCCGAACCCTCGGTACCCACCCTCTTCGTCTTCGATCGTACCCACCCTGGGGATAAATCTTCTTTACCTGCCGCGCGTCATTGGCACAACCCCTGAAACTGTAAAGAGATGACAGATGGAAAAAGGGGACGGCGAAGGATGGAGCACGGAATTCGCAGGAGGGGGGCTAGGAGCAGAAAACACGTGGCAGAACCAGACGGGCTGACCAGGGCGGGCAGACCCTAACGGGCGGGTCGGGAAGGGCCCAAGCGGCTAGGTCGAGAAGACGTGTCGCTGAAGCGTGAATACTGCATGAGACGCGATGAAACCTCGAGCGATAGCGCGATTCCCAAGTAAACCGTGAAAAAACCAAAAGCGAAAGCGTGATTCCTGAGTGTCGGTGGCGCGGCATCAGTACATTGCGAGGAAGTCCCACGCCAGAGCGCGATTCTTGCATACATTATGAAGAAGTCGCGCGCAAGACCGCGATGTTGGAGTACATTGTGAGGAAGAATCAGGGTGTAACCGTTGTTGTTGTAAGTCGGGGGCCAGGGGCCCAGTTTGGTGACCCCCAGCTCTCCCTAACAAAATCACAGTACGATCCCCGGGAGAGGCACTTCAATTGAAAAATGCAAATGGAAAAAGAGAATACGACAACAACCGCAACGCTATTCATTTGAAAAATGATCGCTTGTATCTGCTCGCGTGCCACTTAACACGTATATCCCAAACCCTCGATACCCGCCCTTTTCGTCTTCGACTTCACCACTTAGGGGTATATCTGTCATACTTGCGACGTGTAGTTCGCGCAGCCCCTAAGTCAGGGAAAGGAGGACGGATGGTAGGAAGAGACAAGGGGGCAGGCGGGTTACTGAAGCGTGCGTCCTGCATGAATCGCGAGACTTTCTCGAGCAATAGCGCGCTTCCCAAGTGCATCGTCAGGAAATCCACAGCTAGAGCTTGCCCACTGAGTGTCGAGGGCGCGGCGTCTGTATAACCTGCGAGGACGTACCCTGCGAGAGTGCGATTCCTGCATCAAATGTGCGGGCGACCCGCGCGAGAACGCGATTTGGGAACACACTGTGAAGATGTATCGCGCGGAAGCCGCTGCTGAACTCTCACTTCTGAAGAATAATTATTGTTGATCCCCCCCGCCGGTGCATACTGTGTTTTCTCAATCAAAGTGTGTCCCTCGGCGCTCGCACCCTGTGCTGTATCAGGGCAAGTCTTGAGGCTCAAACTGTGTCCCTGGCCCCCGGGTCACAACAACAACGGCTCCCGCCTTAGGCTTCCTCACAATTTTGCCAGGACCCCCGCTCCCGCCCGAGATTTCCTTGCAATGTATTAAGAATCGCTCTCCCGGCGCTCTGGATTCGCGCTCTCGCTGGAGACTTGCTTGCAATCTGCTGAAGAATAGCGCCCTTGCGTTGGAATTTCTTGCGGTTTACTCAAGCGCCGCGCCCCCGACACCCAGGCACACCAGGCACCCAGGAGTCGTGCTCACGCTTGGGACTCCCTCGCAAACTACCTAAGAATCGGGATCTCGCTTTGTTTCGTGGCCCCGTTGCAGCCCTTCGTGGACCCCTCGCTTTGTTTCGTGGCGCCGTTGCAACCCTTCGTGGCCCCATCGCTTTGTTTCGTGGCCCCGTTGCAGCCCCTCGTGGCCTCCTCGCTGCTCTTCGTGGCCCCGTTGCAGCCCTTCGTGGCCCCCTCGCCTTGTTTCGTGGCCCCGTTGCAGCCCTTCGTGGCCCCGTCGCAGCCCTGCGTGGCCCCGTCGCAGCCCTTCGTGGCCCCGTTGCAGCCCTTCGTGGCGCCTTTGCGCCCCTTCGTGGACCCCCCGCTGCCCTTCGTGGCCCCATATATGTCTGCCCTTCGTGGTCCCCGCTCGTTCGCGCCCGTGGTGGCCCCATATGCGTGCCCTTCGTGGCCCAGCTGTCGCCCTTCGTGGCCCCCTCGCTGCCCTTCGTGGCCCCGTTGCTGTCTTCAGTGGCTCCGTTTTTGCCCTCCGCGGCCCCGTATAGGTATGCCCTTCGTGGCCCACGCTCGTTCGCGTCCGTTGTGGCCCCATGTGCATGCCCTTCGTGGCCCCGCTGTCGCTCTTCGTGGCCCCCTCGCTGCCGTTCGTGGCCCAGTTGCTAAGATCAGTGGCCCCATCGTTGCCTTCTTTGGCCCCGCATTATCTGCCCTTCGTGGCACCCTCTCGTTTGCGCTCTTCGTGGCCCCATACGCATTCCCTTCGTGACCCGCTGTCGCCCTTCGTGGCCTACTTCGTGTCCTTGAGGCCCTGCTGTCGTTCTCTCTCGCTCTCGCTTTCGCTCGTCGTCGTCGTCGCCGTCGCCGTCGTCGTCGCCGTCGCCGTCGTCGACGTCGAAGTCGTCCTCGTCGTCGTCGTCGTCGTCGTCGTCGTCGTCGTCGTCGTCGTCGCGGTCGGTCCCCTGTCCGTCCCTCTTGGGGTCGCGTCGACGGTCCGCGGCCGCCCCGCCGATCAGCGCTACCGCTGGCCAGGCCGACGGTCCGCGGCCGCCCCGCCGCTTGCCGGGGCAAGGCCTGCAGGGAAGAAAGGTACACCCCCCAAAAAGGATTCGATCGAAGACGAAGAGGGCGGGTATCGAGGGTTTGGGAGATACGCATTATTGGACACTCGAGCAGATAAGGGCGAACAGTCCTAAACTAATTGCTGTTGTT